GTATTAGCTTTAATAAGTACTCTTGCTTGATGATCCTTTATTTTAGATAAGGCAGCTGACAAGAGACAGGAAGAGAGACAGGAACTGTGGGGGAAGAGATTTAGTAGTTGGGAGTGACTTGTACTTAAAAATTCACCAGTCAAGTCAGAGAACCGTAGCCTCGGGGCACCTGCTCTACCAACTGAGCTAAACTGGCGCCCTTTTGCTATCTAGATGGAAGTCATGAGTCGAGGCTAAACTCTAATGACCAAAGTGTACATTTGACAAATTCTGAATGATGATGTTTGTCAGCTAAAGTTTCTTTCCCCATTTTTTCCCCTCAAATAAGATTAATCTGCTTTTATTTTACTGGCCTTGTGAAACACGACCTCCTCTCTCTCTCTCTCTCTCTCTCTCTCTCTCTCTCTCTCTCTCTCTCTCTCTTAGCAAAGGGAGTTTACCTCACATAAAGCCAGCGATATTCGTCAGAGACTCAAAGCCTGAATCACCTGGCACCATCTTGTACGTCTTTAATACCTCTTTGAAGTTATTACCAAGCCTTAGAGGACATACAGCTCATGATCCCTCTTCTTCTTCTTCTTCTTCTTCTTCTTCTTCTTCTTCTTCTTCTTCTTCTTCTTCTTCTCTGCTTTCTTTCTCACCCTGTTCCAGAGCAGGTGGCGCTCACACTCAGCCAAGCCTGATTACACGGAGGAGTCACACCCTGACCCCGAATAACTAAAAACTTTCTCACAGCGGAAACTTATTTGCACGGGGATATTTAACATTTTCACTGCTCTACTTTCATTATTCACCGTGTCCTTAAGAAACTCATTAATGCAACAGACAAGGCTGTGGGATGATGGCTGACCCGACAGACAGTGAGTCAGCAAAGCTCTTGTGTGTTCTCGTTGCATCATGAGAACCTGAGTGTGTGTTTTAGTTTCCATGGCGATCTGTCCAGCTGTTCAGTCTCTGACCCAGCGGAGGAACATCTGCAGTTAGGTCACTTTCGGGCACAGACAGAGCAGAGCGACAGCTGAGCTGAGGGACCGTTGGCAGGAACTCTTTGGCAGGTCTTTAACAATGACAACATCAAAAAAAAGAGAGAAAAAGTCTGAGCCTGGTGGCGAGGCAGCGAATAAACCAATCCAGAGAGTCTAAGTCGAGGCTTTTCTGGAATCTAAATTGGGTCAAAGAGCTTTTGGAAAATAGTTATTTGAGTTTGTTTTAGCTTGCTTAGATTTCACTTCATCAGCTTTAATAAGATGAGGGCCTGAAAGTCAACTCAAATCATGAGACAGTCGTTGAAGTTTCATATTTTTTAAAGGTTCAATTTCATTCAAAGGAAGAGCGATTAAAACTAAACATGCTCTCGTTTGGCAAAAACATCTTCCAACAGTGTTCGCTGCGTAAGTGTTTTAAAGAATTTTACTATTCAAAAGCTGCTAAATCACAATCACATCAAGATGTTGGCTCCACTTGGGTGAAATACCAAACTCTCCCAAACACAGCTTTTCAATAACACTGACTTGCATGGAAAACTGAGCTTTTAGAAACATTAGCTCGCCCTGATGGTGAAAGCCAGCTTGGCACTAAAGTTTACGAGAAATTTCACCAGTTTTCAACCTGTTCTTTTCCTATCTGGATTACATTTGTGAATATGCCTGCAGGTATTGGTAAGAGTGGAAAGATGTGAAGCTGCAAAGTCAGTCTCCTTTTTGCACAAATTCTGTACTTTTTGGTAGAAAGGACTTGACTGTGAAAGCTTAGATGCCTAGTGTCTGTCTTCAGTTTAAATGCAAAGTATCTGCAAACTCACTGCAATCAACCAAAATCATTTTTCCAAAACCTTGAGTGCAGACAGTGTTACGGATTAGATTAGTCTTAGATGAGCTTTATTCATTTCAGATAGAAAGTACTGCCAAAGATATGCAGCAGAGCAAGGCTGATGCATTCTGGGCCATGTAGGCACTACTTGCACAGCTCATCAGGCAGGAAACTGAGATTTCTCATTGTCAATATTGCATAAAATAACAAATGTGTACTTCAGCTGATTACATTTATCATCAGTAGCAACTGGACATTCATGACAAGGACCGAGATTTAACTTTCTGCTGCCTGCGACCCGTTCTGTTATTGCACTTTTTAAATTGTATAAAGCTGATCAAATGATGTCATCACTTGCTCTTGTTTCTCTTTCATGGGTCTCTCACAGTATTTATCAGATTTTAGACTGTTTATGATTCAGTGACATAGCCTAAAGATGAGTGACGAGAAGCACTTTCAGCTGTTTTTTTTAGTGATAATCAAAGAATCCACCTGAAAAAGCAGCTTTGCATCGTCTTTAACTCTGAGTTTGAAGTTTGAGGATGTAAGTAGAACATTTTTAAAACCATTTATGCTGCATAAAAAATGAGAGATGGCAAAAATAGTTAAAAGTTTAATTCCAGAGAAAAATCAACTCAGAAATCATGGGTTGATTCATGTTTTAATTGCCCCGTCTGTGGAGCTTTTAATCCAATTAATGCATGGGGGGAAGAAGTGTGCCTCTCTTCCTGTGGAAGCCGAACAGGCCACACACACACACACACACACACACACACACACACTTACACATACTTACCACACATACTTACCCACACAGACACACACATTAATACAGCTGCACTCGCTGAAGTCTTAATGTTTAGATTCTCTGTCTCTTTTCCCTTTTGTTTTTGGTCCCACGCACACTGACACACACACACACACACACAAACACACACACGCGCACACACAAACGCCACGCGATAAGCCTAATTAACAGGAGCTGCCACTGCGCAGCGTGTGTGTATTAGTCTAACCTAATGCCTTCCAGATGCCCAGCCTCTCTGTACCCTGCTGCCCATACAGCTCTTAGAGAACAGACGACTGTTCCTGGGGTCTGTTCACTAAGCAGAACCAGGTGTGGAGGGGACTGTGGGTGTATGTGTGTGTATCTGCCAGAGAGAGAGAGAGTAGACGTTGTGGTAGGTGGGCATTCATATAGTACTTAAGTGTCTGTTGGTGAGAAACTAAGAACACATGCTTTGTGTCATGAGTGAGGATTTGGAAATATATATGTGACTGTATGATGGAAAGAAAGACAACAGGCAAGCATGAATTCAGCTGCACTTACAGTAATGGTACTAAATTATATAACTAAGCCCATTTGCACACACTCGATCAACTTTGTGGTTTACCTATCTGGGTTTTGAACCACCCTTGAAGCCATTTCTGCATTTGCCATCTTGTTCCAGAACCAGAAGTGATCGATTTCAGGAGGAAAAAGGTGCATAATATGCATCACGTCATCTCTAACCTGGTATACAGGTCGCCTTGGTAACTACCTGTCAGATGTAGGTAGCTACACCCTAAAGCATAAAACACTTTATTTTCCATTTTACTCTAAATTGTTTTGTGTTTTGCAAAATGATTAAGCTGTATGGACGAAGAGCTCTTTTTCTAACCAGTGTAGTGGCCATTTAAAAAAAAGGAATAAATCACTATCGTAATGGCCTCAGTTTGGCAATTGATGGTTGCAACTATTTATCATACATTCTTTGGTTATGTAACAAACTTTATAATGTCTGAAGGCTTAAACAAGGATGGTGGGAGCCGTCAGTACTGTCTCACAAAGAAAATCTGTGATGGAAGTCGAAGGGGGGATTCTGGGTTGATTCTGGTTGCGGTCCAACTTCAAGGTCAAAGTAAAAAATAATAATAAATAAAAAGTAACATTCCAGATTATTACTGATGTTCAGAGTTTAATCTAAAAATCCCCCCCCCCCCCACTGCTCCAAAACTGTCTGTACTGTGGAATGCTTTCATTTCTAGGATAACACTGAGCCCTCTGACCCACGGCTGGATTAACCCACTAGGGGGCTCCAGAGCAGAGATGAGCCGGGCCCCCTCTTTCCCCCCGATGGATTGTACCCTGTCAACTTCCAGTACACGTCAAACACTGAGCACACAGCACATTACACAAGCAGCTCGGTCATGTTTGGTCTAGACACAGAAACCACGCAGCGCTCAAATCTTTGGATAAAAGCGTCTGCTAAATGAACTGTAGAATGAAACACCTGAAGCACAGTGAGACGTATGTTTAAATGTCCCGGTGCTGTTGTGCTCAAGACTACAGGAACGCCTTTTCATCCAATCAAATTACTTGGTTGGTCCTGAACGTTGTAAGACGGTGCTTATAACTAAAAACGCGTGAATGCAAGGCAAGGCAAGTTTATTTCTATAGCACATTTCAACAACAAGGCAATTCAAAGTGCTTCACACAAGACATCAAAAAGCATCATGACAGAGGAAAGAAACATTAAAATAGAACATTTAAAAATCACTGAAATTATTAAATCTGAAAATATGTAAAAATAAAAATATAAAAAGAGATAAAAGTTACAGTGCAGAGTTAAAGTTGTAAACAGGTGTGTCTTCAGCCTGGATTTAAAAGAGCTGAGAGTTTCAGCAGACCTGCAGTTTTCTGGAGTTTGTTCCAGATATAAGGAGCATAGAAACTGAACGCTGCTTCTTCGTGTTTGCTTCTGACTCTGGGGACAGAGAGCAGACCTGTCCCAGACCACCTGAGCGGTCTGGATGGTTCATAAGGAACATTTGAGTGACTTTTGGAAAAGTACAGAGTAATTCCCACTGTGCTTCAGAGTATGTTTAAAGGGTAACATAGGGCTGCAGGAGCTCCCAGTAATACATCATTAATACACTTATTGCAGTGATTTGGATAGAAGAGGCTCTTTGTGTCAATAACCAGTGAATGTATGAGTTGCCAAATTCTGCACCAGTGGAGTATAATTCATCCCTGACATTAGTCTCCATATGGAAGCAATCACGTTTTCTGTCTGATGACTTTCAAAGCTCTGTTTATTTTATTTTTGGTAACCGTCTGTCCTCCGTCACACACTTGGTAGCATGCTATATTTATTTTTCTTTTCCCCTCCACTCACCCCATTTCCACCTGTGTGTTTCTTTTCTCCCAGATCGGGGTTCTCAGGGAGCCTTGGACCTGACCGAGTTGATCGGAGTCCCCCTTCCTCCCTCCGTCTCCTTCGTCACCGGTTTCGAGGGCTACCCCGCCTACAGTTTCGGCCCGGACGCCAACGTGGGCCGCCTCACAAAGTCCTTCATCCCCGACCCTTTCTACAACGACTTCGCCATCACCGTGACGGCCAAACCCACCACACGACAAGGTGGGGTGCTGTTCGCCATCACAGATGCGTACCAGAAGATTGTACACCTGGGAGTGGCCTTATCGGAGGTGGAGGACGGTTCCCAGAGAGTCATTCTGTACTACACCGAGCCAGGGACAACAGGGACGCAGGAAGCAGCTTCTTTTAAAATGGGAGACCTGACGGGGAGATGGGCGAGGTTCACCCTGACTGTGCAGGGGGCAGAGGTGGGTGTAAAGAGGATTTGTGCGACCTTAAAGCAACGAATACTCAAACTGTATCCATAACTTTAAGATTTAGATCTGCTGATATCTGCAATGTTTTTGAAAGTGGGAGAAAATCATGATTGTGCATGCTGGGTTTCCTTCAGTGCATGAATGAAATATGGTTCTAGATTGTAATAAAGGTGTACAGATACTTTCATTTAAACCTTTATTGACACAGCTGATCATAACGTTTAAAGTTAACAATTCTCAAAATGGTGCACAAACTTGGGGACAAATCATCTGCGGATGTGATGCATCACGATGGGAGGTTGTATTTAGGATTGACACTAGATGAATTACGGTGTCTGTGTACACTCTGATTTTCAGAAAGCAATGAATGGTGCAGATGAAAACTGATACATTCTGTGTTTTGCCTGCAGCTGTGTTCATGTCGACATCTGCCATGCATGTTTTTTTTTTTTTACAATTCCAAGAAAAGTCATCAAAATAAAAGCTTTTAAAAATCTCTCACAGCAGTGTGAAACAGGCTACATGCTGTACTTTAACCTTATACATATGTTTATTCACAATGGGCAAAGGTTGTCATAGTCTGAGAGGTTAGATGGATGGATTAATAAAGTTTAAACACATGCTACAAATTGCTTTACAAAACACAAAAAATGCAGAATAAGAAAAACAACTTAAACCATTGTCGAATTCAAAGTCTGTGTACCTGTGCCCGTGTCTCCCAGGTGCGTCTCTTCATGGACTGTGAGGAGTACCACGAGTGGACTTCGTCCGGAGCCCTCAGCCTCTGACCTTCGAGGCCAGCTCGGGGATCTTCGTGGGGAACGCAGGGGGGACGGGCCTGCAGAGGTTTGTGGTGAGTCTGGAGGACACTGGATTTATTTTTGTCCCCTCTTGAGGATCTTCCTGATCTGGCTCTCGTTTGTCTTCCCTGAATGAGAGCTGCCTTTTCTCTCTAGTTAATCCTTCGCCTGTGATGTCATCAGGGTTTGGACAAGCGAGTCGAGAAAGGATGTCAAATCTGTTCGTCGCCGCAGAAACAAACGTGGCGTTTTGGGCGTCTGCCTGTTTTATATTTGACACATGAACACAATAGTCTTTGTTGGCAGCTTTTACGACCGCCACAGGAGACGAGGAAGGAATGACCACATGTGTTGTGTGAGCGCTGCCTTTTCCTGTGAGAGCTCATAAATGACAATCTGCATGTGATTTACATATTTTGGAATATGGCAGATCTTTATTCTCCAATGACTTACAGTGAGTGCAACTGTGAGTGGGAACGCCAAGATTGAATTAAAAGGAGCAGACTGAAACACGAGTTTGAGGTTCCAATCACATGCAATGACTGAAAGAAAATCCCCTGTGTGGTTAGAATCGGTGTGTTTGTCGAAAATGTGATCCAGACGAAGTGATAGCAACACACCCAACGCTGCATCTCCTCTAATAGAAAGAAAGAAAATAAACCAGTCAATGCTCTGGCACTTTCCTCCCAGTCAGCCGTGATTGGCTGTTTTGTGAATGCAAGAGAACAGCTTAGTTTGTCCCAGTGTAACAGAAGGGATGATGAGGAGAAAATAGTTTAGAGGAAAGGGAATTCCGTTTCATTATGTACGGGATAAAATGGAGGAGACAGATCTTTTTGAGCACATCGAGATGAACTGAGTAACATCTGAATATTGTCCAAGTAGTTCTCAGAATATCAAATATAACAGGACGAGAGCCAAAACTTCTTATAAAACATGGCGGAAATTATGCTTCTGAATAAATCAGCTCATGGCTAGTGGCTTCACTACTAAATCACTTGATGTTTGCCCTTAAAAACAAAACTTTGGCTTCTTCCACGCTGCTGTGCTTTTTTTTTTTCCTGCTCCTCTTTTGCTTTGATTTTGTAGTTGTGTAAGTTCATGTGAAGGACAAACTAAAAGATGTTTCAGACAGTGGAGAGACGTTCTTTCTGCCATGCAGCTCTTTTCCTCTCATTAAGATTTTATTGGAGAAATGTGAGCAGAGTTGCAGAGAAATACGATGAACCAGTGAGGGAGAAAGAGTGTTTATTCAGGATTTTCTGGGTCTCAGAGGGAAGTTAGTTTTTGCTGCTGGAAGAAATTCTCAAATAGTTTTTTTTTTTTTTTTCTGCCTTCGTTGGTTTCAAACCAACTGTGACACGGGCATTCAGAACCTGAATGATTCTCTCTTGTATTTATTCTAAAGATTGGCTTTTGGACCCGTTTCTTTTGAGGATGGCTCGTCTTTTTTTACCGTGGGGGATGTTGACAGAAGTTTCACGACTTGTCTGGTAGAGCAGCAGACAACAGGAAGCTCGTTTCCTCATGGTATAACATACAGTTTAATATCATCTTAATTAAGATGAAATCACGATTACTCATCCCATGTCTCCTAGCCGTTGGGACTGTGACACAGTGGCCTGGAAACAGTTTTTTTCTTGTTGAAGTCTCTTTGCTTTTATCTTTATTTTGAGAATTACTTTTATGACAACTGTATCAAAAAGTAATTATGTTATAAGTTTAATGCAATCATGGAACAATAATTTGGGTTACAAAGAAATTAGAAAGAGCTTTTTCTCAGTTTTAAAGGAACAACATGCAACTTTTTGATCCAGTAGATGTCGCCCTTGAGCACCAGCATGAAACCAACACAGACAGTCATGACTCAGACGCTGTACTTGATGTCTGGTGTATTTTTGTGTAAAATATTGCACATTCCTACTTTAAGTCTTTGTGCTAAGCTAACAAAAACTAAGCTTTTGTGAGATGCAAGTAGGGGGGCTTCAAGGGGGAAAACAAGATGAAAACACAGTTTTAACGGGGTGAAATGCACAAAAATATCAATTTTCTTTCTGGAGCCATTGCTTCATTACATGACTCAGAGGCCCTCTTGAGTCTTTTCTCCTGAATCTTTTGGACAAATAGCTCCATTCTTTTCACGACTCCCTTCCCTCCTCCATACCGTCCTCCCTCTCAGACGGCGTGCAGCGGTGACCGTCTGTTTCCACATGCTCAGTGTTTGAACTGGCTGCTCCGTCACAGATCTCCTATCTCAACTCTGGGAGAGCAACAACAGACCCGCAGCTGCAGCCAAACACACTCAAATATACTCCACACAGACTTATGCACTCTTTATTTTCTGCTTTCTTAAGTCTAACAGAAGCACATCCCCATGTCAAAGAGAAATAAAAAGACAGAGAGAGTATGTGTGTGAGCTGAATGTGTTCTTGTTACCCCAAAACATCGCGGCAAAACACTGTCACGTAGACTTATGTTGACATTTCTGTGTGTATGTGTACGTTGAGTATTTGTTGACACAGATTTAAGCATGAAGCCATTAAGCCCTTTCAAATTCTGGATGCAGACAAGAAGCTGGAACTTCTTTTTATTTCTGAGCAACCCCCCCCCAAAGGAAATTCGATTATTCTGTTTAAAGGTGCAGAATTTGTTTTCAGCTTTTCAGACAGAAATATAACAGGTTGGCAGAGTAAGTAATAAAAACAGCTAAAGCATCTCCTCTTGTGGGAAAGAAAGCCTAGTCAAAGATTTGACTGAAAGAAATCTCCTGAGTCTGGATAAAATTCCTTCAAACATTTACATAACAAAGGAATGGGTATCTAATCCTATCACTTTACAGCACACAAGTCACGCCTCATTCTTGTTATAATCAAATTAAATGGTGACCCCTGGTGTCTAATGGGCTCTCAGCAATGTATAGTATACAGAGTGTTGTCAGTGTGTGTGTGTGTGTGTGTGTGTGTGTGTCTTTTCTCAACTCAAGGTGTGTTGACCTCTTTGCAGCGGCGCCGGCATTGACATAGTTCACACATGCACACACACTCTTGGCCACTCGCGCCTAAAGTTTCCTCCTTCCGTTTCTTGGCAACACGTTTTCTCAACATGGTGGCTGCCAAGAGCTGCAGACACAGAACAGAACAACACCGTACATGTACCTTACCCTTTTCTTTAGCCATGTCTGACTTCTGAAATATCTGCAGAATCTGGCTCAGTCTGCGGACACTAAACAGACTAAAACATACACACACACACCCACTGTCTTTATTTGAATCCAAGACTACAGTTATAGCTAGAGCTCTGATTCATTGAAGCCTATAGGTGAAGCCGATGGAAGCTCAGTCCCATACAGGTCCATCCATCCATTATCTTTACCACTTTTTCCAGTTTGCGGGGCTGGAGCCGATCCCAGCAGTCATTGGGCAGGAGGTGGGCTACACCCTTGGACTGTTCAATCACAGGGCTTACACTCAGAGAAAGACAACCAGCCACGCTCACAAATGACCTATCAAGCAATGTATTTGGACTGTGGGAGGAAGCCGGAGTATCCAGAGGAAACCCACGCATGCATGGGGAGAACGTGCAAAGTCCACACAGAGCGTCTCTGTCCGATTTGAACTTGGACCCTCCTCGCTATGAGGCAACATAAGCAGCTAGTTTACCTTTGAAATACTTCCTGTTATTATGTGTATCTTATCATGTCTGCATTGATTCATTATGAGCCTTATGGACGCTGTCATGGAGTAACGTGTTTATGGTTGCATGGCCAAAATCGAGCGAAACACACACAGTTTTTCTTGCCTCTCAAACAAATCCTCCCGCTTGCCTCCCAGTGATTACACTCATATGATTTATAGACTTCACAAACCGATCGACTTTATCACAATGCGTGCACCTTGTTGTGGCTCAGTTTACGGGGGAACGACATGATAAACCGTCTGGATGAAGTGGAAAGGTTTACGCGGTGCATTCTTTGTTTATTTCAGATGTGTTGTTTACTGCACAAACAGATGTCTCTGATTTGGTTGCTACTCTCTCTCTCTCTCTCTCTCTCTCTCTTCTCACTCCTTCCACATGATTCGATTTCATAGACTGTTCTCCACTTGATATAAAACAGGTGTTTGATCTCAAGCCTGAACACAAGATAAATGAAAGTGGCTGGAATTGAAGTGATCTAATAAGACAACAGGAAGACTGACTCTCGGATCTAAAGTATCATTCACTGTTTCATGCCCACACTTTTTTACACAAAGCAAATCATTTGAAACACACGTTTTTTAATTTGCACACAGAACTCCTTTCTGCACTTGTTAATGGACTTAAAGGAGCAATATGTAACTCTGACATGTAGCATTTAAAATGGATTCTGTAGTCCAAATTCAAAACATTGGAGAGAGCTGTCTCCCCCGCCCCCTCCTCACACAGGTTGCCATGTAGGTTGTCATTTCACTGACACTGAAGCTTCAGTGTTTAGCCAGCTCTGCATCCGTCATAAAACCTCTTTGCGTTCTTATTTCTCAACTTTTTCAAAAACATTTCCAAAATGTATTCTAGTTTTTACCACATTTCTGCTCATGAAGCTTTTTAGAAAAAGGCTTTTGGGGTCCAGTAGAATCAGTTCTATCTGAATCAGTTCGGTTGCCAGCTTCCATCGCTGTAATACCTGTTGGTTTGTCGTTGGCCTGGCAAATCAAGGGGCATCTAAAACGCCCATGTTGGGGTGCCTTAAAACAGCCTGCCTTCTCTATTCAAAACTCAAACAGACCATTCCCCACCAGAATTGAAACTGAAAAGGAGGACATACTGGCTGCTGCATTGTTGTCAGAGAAGCCAGCACTTCAAAATCGCATGTTTCATTAAAGTCTGATGATACAGTAAGGTCACTTTATGATTTCATTCAGTAGATATCTTACATATGGCTCCTTTCAAACTCTTGTAAAAACATTTCAGTGAACTGCCCGACTTTAAAAACAAGATTAATCTTTCACTTCAAAGTGGATTTAGCAACGAGTGCAGAGGGATGGTGATGTAATACCCCTTCATCTTCAACAAAAAAATGCATCACTTCTTTTTTCTGAAGTCAACAACCATCTCCTTTGTTTTTAATTCAGGGTGAGGTTTTTAATGCAGCACTATGTGACCAGTTTATCTGCCTCCTCTCAGTAGTGTGTTTCATTACTGTTGATGTTGAGGCCCATCATCGGTGTGTCATCTGCAAACTTAATAACGTGATTGGGACTGGATCTAGCTGTGCAGTCGTGAGTTAGCAGGCTGAGCCTTTGCTTGGTGTGATGATGCTTGAAGTAGTCTTTCCAATTCTGACTCGCCTCTGTTACTACCTCCGAAGACGGTACAGAGTAGGGGATCACTTCGTCCCCTTCATGCCACCTCTGCGACATTCAGATTGAAGGTGTAATAGTCATAATATTGGCGTCAATATCGCGTCTTGAAACGGCAGTCTGAATAGGACTACTGACTACTACGGCCTGCTGGTGAGAAAGTCCAACATCCTTAGCTTCCCAGGCAATAAACCAGTATGCATGGTTGCAACTGTTAATAGCCAATGGGGGCTTTAAGAGATCAGTTACCAGCATAACTTCAACTTGCAAACACTGGGAACATTACCAGTATTAGCCATTCCTGACCATCTCACCATTTTTTCTTTGCCAGTATAGGAGCACTAATGTCTGTGCTGCCAGCTCAGATGCTGGTAAACTGACAGGGTGTGGAGCAGCCATCAGCAAACTCAAAGTTTGTCCCTTATGCTTTTAGCCTTTATTTGATAGGACAGCGGATTGTGTAGGAAATTGTAGCGAGAGGGGTTAATGACAAGTGGGGAAAGAACCACAGGTCAGACATGAACCCGGGCTGCCCTGCTTGAAGGACTATAGCTTCCTCCTTACATGGGGCGTGACCTCACTTGCTAGGCCATCAGCACCCCTAAGTCACCCGTTTTGAACTGCCAGCTGGTTGTGCTTGTCCGTCTGAGAGTGCATGTGTGCAGTTATCTGTGTGCTGGATAATGTGCCGGGGTAATGAGGGACAGAGAGAAAGATCAACTGTTATCATGCTGGTGTGAGGGAAACTCACAATATATCTCCAATAAAGGTTAATGACACAGAATGAATTAAATTACCACGCTATCTCTCTCTCATACATACTCTCTCTCTCTCTCTCTCTCTCTCTCTCCTCCAGGGCTCCATCCAGCAGCTGTTGCTCAAGTCTGATCCCACGGCCCCGGATGACCAGTGCGAGGAGGACGATCCCTATGTGAGTGTGCCAGTTACACACGTTTTACCAGCCAGAACGTGGAAGTATTCCTCCCTCTAGTGGTGCAAAAAGTGTACTACATAAACTATATGGACTAGTATGTGAGTACACATGCAGCACAGTGCTTCTATGTGCTTGGTCATTAAAGTGTAAAGGGAATTTATATTGATACAAACATTGTGAAATTTTAACGATAGTGTGCTCCCAAAAGTTGTGTGAAAACAATTTTCTCAGTCTTTTTTTTTTAACCCAACATCAGTGTCTAATGGGAGGAAACACAAGTTCTAATTTCCAAAGCATGTAGGTCTCAAATTCATTCAAAGTCATCAGTACAAATGAAAGCACAGCCGTTGTCTTTGTGATGCTAATCGTAGTTTGAATCTGGGCTTATGAGAGGATTTTTAAAAAATTGCCTGCAGAACCAATCAAAAGACCAATATTTGGATGCGCTGAGAGATTCAGATACATTCTCTCTTCCTCTCCTCAGCTCAGTCCTGGCACTGTCTCCAACCCGTTAATTGACTCTGATATCTGGCGCGTTTTAGAGCTGAAGTTGGGCTATAAACAGCATTATCAGCGTCATGACAGAAAGTGTGGGAAAAAAAAACAAACACTTTGTACTCAACAGTTTCTTTTATTAAACGGGGCGTAGCTGCATTTTTTTGGCAACTTTCCTCCTTTGGCTGTCTTAATTGCGCAGCTTGAAGGGAGCTTTTAATCATCTCTGTCTCTGTTTATCTTCTGACTCTGTTTGCCTCGGCTCTCTCGGTTTTTGCCTCCAGGCGTCCGGATTTGGAAGTGGCGATGGCGCTTATGAAGACATGGAGGGACGAGAAGAAGTGAAGAAGATTGTGGAGGAGAGAGAGTATACCATGGTGTGTGTGTATATACACTCTGACTCACACACACACCACACACACACACACACACACCACACTTTATCCCTCAGTCCTCTGTCCACATTCAGCTGGGTTGGACCTGGACCAAAGAAAACAGCTCTTATCCTTACAGGCATGCTGGAGACTGGAACACGGTGATATGAGCGGCTCCCTGCCAGCTCTCTGTTCTCTGAAAAAATAAAATAAAATATGGACAGAAAAGGAGTAGAGGTGAAATAGTATGAAATCATTTTGACTGATGCTCATTGATTAGAAGGAGGAGACTAGCGGGGGGGGGGGGCTTTCCTTCATTCAGTGAAGGCTGCAGTGACAAATGTCCACTCAACCATTACCTCTGAATTTAAATCCATATTAGAGCTTTTATAGTTTGATTTGTTAAAGAATTGTGCAAAAAGGCAAACCACCAAGAACGATCTCATCCTCATTGGTCAGCAAAGCTACGTAGATTTGAATATTTTTGTTTATCGGGAGATATCCGAGAGAATTTCTTCACTTCATGATGCTACCTGATTTTACCTGAGTGCTTGTCAGCCAATATTCAGCCTATACTGAGCTTTTTTAAATGACATAAATCTATAACACTGCTGAAGGATAGGAGACCTAGTGGTGTTTAATTGCTCATCATTTGTAGATCATTCATAAACAGGGAGGCAGAACACGAGGCCATGACGTTCTATCACTCCAGATGTTCTTATAAATTATAATGCAGGAATAATGTTGATGTTCTGCAGCGGAGTGAGTCAGCTTGGTGCAATGTGAGGAATGTGTGTCTGTCTAACTCTGCAGTTGGATCTGCTCTGAGAGAACAAATTTCCTGCCATCTGTGGCAAACACTCACTTTGTTCCTTTGTCGGGTTTTTCTGGGTTTTGAGAGAAAAAAAAGCTGTTGATGCAAGTCAAAAAGCTAAAATATCACGGTTACAGAAAATATGACACCGAAACATCCTGAATGACAACAACTGAGCCCGAGAAATAAATGTGTGAATGTTTTCCAGTGAGATTGTGCATCGAGGATCATTTGATAATCTGTCATTATTTACATGATAGTGAGAAAATAAAACTATTTACTACAGATCGGGAAATATTGCAGAAGAAAAAAATCAATTTCCTTCTACTTCCTTTTTCAATGAGGTGATTGTGGTTGTGTCATTGTTTTAGCCCCACCCAGAGCTGGACCCCACCTACAGCACCCCTGTCCAAGCCCCGCCCACTGAGATGTCACAGTTTGATGATGAAGATATTGAGGAGACTTCTGGCGAGGAAGCAGAGAGGACCACAGTAAGAGGTAAAATAAAACATCAATCTAAAATCTAAAAAAAGGGAGGAAAAAATGGCAGGGATCGTTTAAATGAAAAGTAATGCCAGAATACACAGCTGCTCCTCCTATTGGTTGTTCCCCAAATGAACCAGCAGATGGTGCTACAAACGGCAGTAACTGCTGTACTTTCACTTACAGAAGACGTCTCTTTCTCTCTCTTTTTTGTCCTTTTAATATCCCTAAATGTTAGTTTGTAAGTTCATTTTCTTTAAGCTTCCAACAATAAAGTTCTTCATCTTTTTCAACTGAAAACCTGAACTTGTAATTAACTCACTTTTTGTCTCTTACAGTAAAACCTCTTCAGACAGATCATCCAGCCTCCATCCCTGACACTGTAAGTGGTGATTTGACACATAATCTAAATTATTTTTATGTTTTAATTGAAATGCAGTGGATAGTTTACATGTTAAATAAACAGTAAATATATTCAATATTCAGTTAGAGAAGTAAAAAGCAAGATTGTCTGTGATATTATTCACATTGTTTCAGTCAAAACCTCGCTGTGCCAGTGTGAAGTGTCACAATTACAATAATCAAGACCCAAACTGAGCAACATTCAAAATGTTGCTTGTTTCAAAAGCGAGACTCACCAGCTTTTGATAATAGTGATCGTGAATACAATGTTTTGTTTGTTTACACCACAAACTGCTCATTTCTGTCTTTAGTTTTTTACTTGTGCATATCACACAAACAAACACAAAAGAAACAAGAGAGCTTTTTAACTGTGGCCAAAATACTCACTCTGTGAATCTTTATGAATGAATGGATGGATGTGAATTAATATTATTTATTGACCCTTCAGTCCCTGCAGGTTTCTCCAAGACAGAAAGGGGAGCAAGGTGAACCAGGTCCAGCCGGTCCCCCGGGACCTCCCGGCCCTCCAGGGCAAGGCTCAGGAGATGGTCAGGGAGGGGAGCCTGGACCCCGGGGTCCACAAGGACCACCGGGAACTGAAGGCACACCTGGACTTCCTGGGAAAGATGGACAGCCTGTGAGATTTTTCAACCTTACTTTTATGAATATTTGGTTTTTCCCCATTTTTTAACTGTGCTGTCTCTAAAAAGAGCTAATTAGAGCACATCCTGTTGTTAAACTCAGTCCTACAGCTGAACAGATAAACGGATGGATGATGGATTGTTTCTCTATTTTTGTCTTATTTTTTTCCTCCAGGGAAGCAAAGGAGAAACTGGCAACGCTGTAAGTAAAGTCTTTGCTGTCGGGTAGATTTATAGTTTTGTTCTTGTGGAGGTCGTTTTTTTATTCTCTCTGGAGAAAACGGACGCAGGAAATAAACTCACAGAGTGATCTAGAAAAGTATACTTTATATTTGAATTTATACTTTAAACTTATTCGGCCTGTTATCTTGACTGACTGAGGTCACAGATCTGATCGAAGACAAAGTTCTAACCCTGAAACTGGATAAAGTGTCATTGTACTAAATTTAAACAGTCTTACATGTACTCTGGTGTATTATTGAGCACATCTGTTACTTTACCTTTCAAAGGGGGCGACTGGGATTCCAGGATTTCCAGGATTACAGGGAGAGCCTGGTCCAAAGGGAGAAAAGGTAAACACAACTTGTTATCAGGACACATGTGATCACAATGTAATTTCTGATTTATAAAGACATCGCTAACATGTTGTTTGTTTGGGAGATAATGTTTTTTAAAGTGATTTTTTGGGGCCTATTTACCTTTAGGACCGCTGAAAAGAGATGGGTAATGTTGGGAGGAGAGAGGGTGTGGCAAAGGGCAGAGGTCAGATTCGAACCCATGGTCACTACGATGAGGACTATAACCTCTGTACATGGAGAGCGGGAGATAACCACTAGGCTATCTGGCGCCCCGCCTGTGTTTAATCTTCACAAACAAAACCAACCTCTCTCTCTGTTGTCTCCCTTAGGGTGATACTGGCTTTGGTCTTCCAGGTCCTCCTGGACCTCCAGGTCCTCCAAGCAAGTCTTCCAGGTTCCTGGTAGGTTTCTGTTCACATATGACCTTAAAAAGACAAACATACTTCATGTTTCTAAGTGATATGACTGTGATTTTAGTGATATTGTTGTGTATCCACAGGACAAAGTGAAATTTAGGATAAGAAAAATGAGACGAGTCCAAGTTCTTTGAAACGTCTCATCCATACTGTAGATCTGAGCTGCATGTGTGAGCGCTCTAATTTCTGTCAACATGATCTTAACAATAAAGAACACAAGTTATGTCTTATACAAATCTTTCTTAAAAATGTAGATCTTGGTTTTCTTCACATCAAGCTTCATGTTGCAGCTTTATATTAACATTCAGCTTCAAACACCTTTTGTGCTGTCAAATAGGTCAGGTAGAAGAAATTAATCCAAAATATCTGAATCAGTGGTCATGTGGTTTGTGTTTAATAGGAGGGCTCAGGATTTGAAGACTTTGACAGCGATGCAGAGATAATGAGGGTAAGTGTTTATGCTATCAAGCTTTTAAGCTGATATATTTTGACAGAACAGGACATTCACAAACATTGGATCATAAGTTAGACAGGTACTTCTAAGTTTACTTCTTCCTGTTTGTGTGACTATAATATTTTACATGGTTTCATCAGGGGCCTCCGGGACCTCCGGGACCTCCAGGGCTTCCAGGAAACCCATCTGAGGACCTCTTTCGTGGACCACCTGGGGCTCCTGGCAAAGACGGGAAGAATGGAGAGAGGGGTGAACCTGGACTGCCTGTAAGCCAATCACTGTTTCTGTATTTAAATTCACTCTATATTCACATGGCGGCTTTTCCCCTCTGATCTTAGACCCCAGGGTGCAAAGCTCAAAAGCATTCAGACACATCCAAGCTGAAGTCACAGTTCATGAAACATGATAGGACAGGTTGGACATCTTAGGAAATAGTCATGTTAGCAAGCTAAGGGTAATTTAGTTAGCTAGATAGCAGATATGTTATCCAGCCAAGGATAATGTTAACAAGCCAACAGTTTCAGCTATCTTAGTATAATGTTGGTGAACTAACTGTTATGTAAGATAGCTAAATATGCCATTAAACAGCTAATAGTTTGTTTACTAGCTGAAATAATATCATCCTTCTCAGAAAATGATGATATAAACTAGCCAAGCAATGTTTGTTATACCATATGTGTTGGCTTGCAAAGGATAATGCTAGTTAGCTCACAGTAGTGTTAACCAAAGTGCACATTTCTTAAGTGTTTTTTTGGGGCCTTTAGGTTGTTTTTACACAGGACAGCTTGGAATGTCATGCAGCAAAGGATCGAGGTCGGATTCAAACCCATAGCTGCTATGTTGAGGGCTAGCCTCAGTAGCCTGTTCAACGCTCAGCTTTAGCAACGATTTGGCGACATGATTTAGCCTTGAAGACCTTACAAACATTTTTTAGGACTTTGTTTTTTCTAAATTTTGGGACATCAGAGGAAAACAGTTTTCTTTTGAGGGATTAGAACATAAGAACAAATCCAAAAACATTTCAAAATTGGTCGATTTATTCTTAAATATGAAAGATTGATTCATGCATCTCTGACCGAACTTCTTTTTACAGGTGATTGAGGAGTGGTTTATTAGCTCTGGCTCTGGTTCAGGGTCTGGCTCTGGCTCTGGTTCTGGTTCAGGGTCTGGCTCTGGCTCTGGTTCTGGTTCAGAGTCTGGCTCTGGCTCTGGCTTTGGTTCAGAGTCTGGCTCTGGCTCTGGTTCTGGCTTTGGTTCAGGGTCTGGTCAGGTATTAAAAATTGGTCCCAGTGTAACCACTGGACCGAAAAGACAGTATTCCCCCCAACTTTATTTTGAACCCATGTTCCTCAACTGCTTTTCCAGCCTTTTCTTACAACATGAAATGTATCAAACATATTGTGAGTGTGTGTGGTTTCAAAGAGAATGGCACCAGTTGGGAAAAATGTTGATTTGGGAAATAATATGTCTGCGTAATGTGCCTGTTATGCAGGTAACATAAATTCAGACTATCATATCCTAACAGCGCTTTGGCAGAACCTTCTGTTGGAGCTTCAGAACATGGTCAGCTGCAGCATCTGTTGGGGGAAATGTGTCTTTTGTCTTTGAAATGTCAGAAGCTTTTACTAACCTATTGTATGAATGGCTTTAATACTCACAGGTTTAAGGTGTTTACGGCCACTTGGTAGATTAACTTCAGTTCCTGGGAGCCTGAGTAAAAATACATTTCACTTTCAATTGGCTTGTAGCGAGCATCCTCCCTAAATCCCATGCTGACTGTGTAGTGAAAGTACAGATTATTTATACTTGTGTAGGTAGGTGTATACAAACGACACCTGTGCCTCTATCTGACATGTTTAAAGTTTGTTATCACTCTTTCAGGGTGTCGATGGGAGAGACGGAGATCCCGGGCCAGCTGGGAAGACAGGAGACAAGGTGAGACTATAAGCAGTCCAGATTTATTCCTAGTAAAGACACAGAAAAACATCAGAGTCGCATCAGAGTAGTTGCACATCCACCAGGATTACCCTCTTGCTTTGGGTGCTCTTTGTATGAGCTCACTCTGATTTCCTCTGAGCATGCCTCTTAGTGCTCCGTTAGTAAAAACAATTTCACACAAGCTTAATAACCTGCTAACACACAGCGCCAAGTGTTAATGAGGCGAACCCCCGCAGGCTAATAAAGCTAAAGGGATTAAGTGGAAACAGGTCTGTGTTGCAAAACAGAAAGTGATGTCGCTCTTTTGTCATTGTTTTTATTTTGTCATGTTCTAAACAGGGAGAGCCCGGTGTAGGTGGACAGCCAGGACCAAAGGTAAAATTATGATATCTTTACCTCACCTTTTAATTAAATCTTTTAGGTTTTCCCCTCTTGTCCCCTCACTGTAGCACTAACTGAATTAACAACATGACATGCTTTGCAGGGAGATCAGGGCCCTCCAGGGTTTCCAGGCCTATCAGGCGCAGATGGTCCAGAAGGGCCATCTGGTCCAAGGGGTCAACCTGGCCCTCCTGGGCCCCCAGGTCCCCCTGGAAAAGGCTACACCTTTGACTTTGAGGTACAGTGTTGTTCCCCGTTACGACTCAGAAACATTACCGTAAATTCAGAGAGAGAAACAACATAACAACACACACCTGCAAACATACCATTTTCTATAAACCCATAGTCCTCGCCTTCCCCACGGGTCTTTCTCTGAAACGAACAATGTGAGAAAGATATTTTCAGTAAGTCAGGGAAGTGATTTAAGTAGGTGAATGAATACATAGTTCAATAGAATCAATAAGACAAAACAATGGTAAGAAAGTAACGAGAAAATTACATCGTAGATCTACCAGCGTTAAGGGCTCCAATCTTTTCTCAACATTAACGTGGCCTGCCTGGTTCATCCTTAAAGTTTCTCTTAAAGAGTTAACCCACTGATCAATAGAGAGACGTGGCTTTCACCTGACTGCCAGCATCGTGTTAGCAGCAGTACATATTGTTAACCACACATATGTATAGATTTATGTTTTACTGCTGACTACATTTAAAAGGATAATACACACTGCAACTTTGTCAACAATAACAAAGGAGTCGGTCACAAAATCACACAAAGTCAGTATGATTACGATTTAGTTGAATCAGGTCCGTTTGACACACAGAGGCAACATCAGTTAATTATTATGATATTTTTGGAGGCAGTAACTTGTCAGGCACTTGGAGTTTGACTATTGGTGATTTAATTTGTTAATTATTTAGGACTTGGAAGGATCTGGGATACTGAGCGGTGCAGGAGCTGTGCCCTCCAGAGGCCCACCGGTAAAACTGCATGTGTTTGCATGAAGAGCATTATGCATAGAAATATTCAGCTTTTATAGTTTTATAAACCATCGATCATCATACAGTGTAATTGTATTATTGCTTTTACTACTGTTATTTATTTCAGCTTGTATTCATTAACTTGAATTTGTTAAACAGGGTCCTCCAGGAATCCCTGGACTTGAGGGACCAAAGGTGAGATGTGTGTGTGTGTGTGTGTGTGTGTGTGTGTGTGTGTGTGTGTGTGTGTGTGTGTGTGTGTGTGTGTGTGTGTGTGTGTGTGTGTGTGTGTGTGTGTGTGTGTGTGTGTGTGATTATCATCTGGACTAAAAGAAGGTTATAATGACATTGTAGTGTGATTAAAACTTGCTAATGTTAGATAAAGAGTTGGCATGGAGAAGACTTGAACCACTTTAATCTGTTTATGTATTTTAAAATTAGATAAGTGTTCATTTTTCAAACCATCTGTTTCTCCTTCTTTGCTTCTCATAGGGTAAAGATGGTTTGACTGGCGTCCCAGGAGGGCCAGGGCAAAAGGTGAGTCTGCTGTCAAGTGTTTTTTTTGTTGTTGCTTTTTTTACTCAGCATGAATCAGAAAAAGCTTCTGAAACATTCACAAACAAATCCTATTACAGTGCAGTACATGAGTGATGAATGTTTATGTTGTGTCTGTAGGGTGAGGATGGCATCATAGGACGACCAGGATTTCCAGGATTGGAGGGACTTAAAGGGGCAGAGGTCAGTAAATGGAATATCTGAAAATTAATATTAAATATGTCATTAGAAGATTAACAGATTTGTTCTGGCACGAATAGTGACTTTTAGTGAACAAAATAAGTACAAATATGGTCTTGAGAGCTTATTGCTGAATTTTGAAAAATGTATGGAATTCCTCAAAAATATTCTTCCAGATGTTTTATCAATTTTAATTTTTCAGCTTTATTTTACAAGAAATATTCATGAGATACAAAATCTTCTTTAAAAGAGAGTCCTGGCCAAGACACCAGCATAAAGTGATTTTCACAACAACAAAAAAAAAAGGGCAGAACAAAAACCTAGCTGTGGGAGTGTCACCCACCTGGGGGAGGGGTTACTGCCCTTTGTGATGTCATGAAGGGAAAATCTCCAAACGGCCTGTTTGAGCACACACTTTATGAAAAGTGGAGCAGGCAAGAGACGGAAGGGATGGACTTTTGTCATAATTGGGGGGTATCTAGGCAGGCGTGGGACACACATGTATTTGAAAAACATGGTGGTGTGTTTTGCATAATATGTGACCTTTAAGGCTATCAGAGTTCAAAAATAGTACTCATAACTGAATGTTTAACTTTGTGTTTGATCTTGGTTCTTCTACAGGGACCAAAAGGGAACAGAGGTGATCCAGGACTGAAGGTAAAACCACCCAGAGGTTGATTTATGACGACCATACTCACACACATACACACACGATTGTACATGACTGACAAAACTTGAACTTTGTGTCAACTTTTACCAGAACATAAAAACGTTTCCACATTGTTTTCTAGGGAGAGGCTGGACGGGATGGGAAAGGTCTACCTGGCCCTCCTGGACCACCTGGACCTCCAGGACCTATTATTAACCTGCAGGATGTAAGTAGTACCTGAACACATCTTTTAAAAGGATCCCAAAGGCTAAAAGTGTTGTTTTCTCTTTTAGAGAGATAAGAGAGATAAGAACACAATCTGTCTATCTTAGTCATATATATACTCGTTGTGATTGATTCGCTCTGTGGGTTTGATTACACTGACAACATTCTCGTTCTTTCTTTTAACCAGCTTCTGCTGAACGATACAGATGGTGCCTTCAATTTCTCAAGGATTTATGAAGCTCAGGGAGCATCAGTGAGTATAAAACAGACCAAAAACATCAATCACACACAACAGATCATGGAAACAAAAATTGTGTTTGTCTAACTATTGTTGTGTAACAGTCATGCCTATCCAATTAATTCTGTCAGCTGTTAGGTTTGCCAACAGATATAAGAGAGTGCACAAACATCAATATGACAACAAGTAGAGAATGATCTCCTAATCGAGTCCTTCATTTAGCTCTGGAGTTATCCTCATATTCCTCTTTGTCTTCAGGGTCAAGGAGGTGATATGGGGTTGCCAGGAGTTCGAGGACCTCCAGGACTGAAAGTATGTTGATTAAGTGCTTTTGTGTTTTTAAGGGGGGCCGTGGCTCAGAGGTAGAGTCGGTGGTCTCTCAACCTGAAGTTTGGCAGTTCAGTCCCCATGCTACATAGCTTGCAGCGCGTGAATTCGGGGTGAATAGTACTGATGGGAATTTGAGCATTTTCCATAGCAACCTCCGCCATCAGTGTGTGTGTGGGAATGGGTGAATGTGACATGTAGTGTTGGAGCTCTTTGAGTGGTCAGAAGACGCTGTACAAATCCACTTACCATTATTAACTAATCTTTCTACCCATGTGTAATTTTAGTGTGTACAGACAGTATTAAAGAAGTGCAAATTGTAAACATGCATATTTCTCTGTAAACCTACATTTAGTTTATTTGTTAACTCGTGTGTGTTTGCAGGGTGAAAAAGGTGAGCCGGGATTTTTCATGGCAGCAGATGGAGCCATGATGTCAGACCTGGCTGGTCCCAAAGGAAACAAGGTTATCATTTGTATTTTCATTCTATTGACTTTCAAATCCAGAACATTATCCTCATACTCTTCTTTTTCATGCACGTAAATAACAGCTCTATTGTAAAACATAGCATGACTTTGTATTGAAGTGTATCAATCAATCAAAATGTGGTCGTTCTTTTCAGGGTGATATTGGTGTAGCCGGACCTGCAGGAATTACTGTAAGTATCAGTTGTAGTTAAATCAAAACATTTGCAGGTTTTATTACTGCACTGACTGTTTATCCCCACTGCTGTGGATACACATGCATTTTAAAAGTACTGTCACTCATCTTTTTTATGTTCCCAACAGGGGCCAGTTGGACCGTCAGGACCAAAAGGAGAATTTGGTTTCCCTGGAAGACCTGTAAGCAACATGAGCTCACTGAACTAAACTGACACTGACAGTTCTTTATCTTAATGTTGATCTTTAAAGATCCTGTGAGGAGTTTTTAGTTGGTTCTGAAACAGACTGAAATTAAATCTGACGTCTCTTCGTGGCCTAAATAAGCAAATGAGACCATCAGCAGCGAGATAGAGAGGCTTCTGCGGTTGTAGCCTCGATGCTTATGGATGATTTCTCTCTGTGTAGGGTCGTCCGGGTCAGAATGGACTAAAAGGAGCGAAAGGGGAGTCTGCAGGCCAGCCGGTGAGTCTAAAAGAGCATGGAAGAAGACTACAGATGTAAAACAATAAATATAAGAGATGCTAGTTTAGAATCTGTAAATGAAACATGTAATAATTAAAAAGTTTAACTTTAAGTTTAATAGAATTTCTTAAGCACTTTGTCCTCCTTTTTGATTGTTTCACTCTGTTCTCTTTCTACCATTATTCAATTTCCTGTCTGGTTTTTAGGGTCTTCCTGGTCCTCCCGGGCCACCAGGCCGCCCAGGACTGTTCACCTGCCCCAAAGGAGTAAGCACACACACGTTTGACTCACCTCTCCTTACTCATCAGGTGTGTTTTATTTGTCATGAGATAACTCTCCTCTCTCTGCTTCTGGTTTCTGAAGATCGTGTTCCCCATACCTCCCAGACCCCACTGCAAAATGGGCGTAAGTTTCTGTTTATATCGACATACTGCTGATTAATTATGTCCTAATTGTCCTCACAGTGGTCTGAAGGTTTAACACAAAAAAAGACACATTAGGGCGTGTGCTTGTGCCCTATAATACTGTTCTACCACCTTTAGAATGATGGCTGCGTCCTTGTTTTTGATTCATCTTGATTAAACCGAAGCTGCCTGCACAATCCTCCTAACCACAAACTCTTTAAATCTCTGTTTGTCTCACACATCCCTCTCCTGCTTTCCCTCTCCTTTGGGTCACAGTGCATGTTGTCTCTTTAACTCCTGGTACAAACTCACCCTTTATCACTCAGAACTGCACGAGAATGACTCTCAGGTATTCCTGCTCGCTGCACGCCCGCGCCGGAAAGTTGAAGGCTTATTGCCGAAACAGCAACAAGGTATCAGAAAACAAAACACACCCACAGAAGATCTGCATGTTTGCATGAGGACAAAGATATTAACAATAACAATAAGAGGGTTTCATATCTGCTCCTTAACTTTCCTTATTACCCTTATGATAGATCTGTGAAGAAAATAACATAATCTGGTGATCCATTTCTCAGTCTGATCAAAGTGTGTGGCACCTCTAGTGGCCTAAATAAGTATCACAGTAACAAAGAAAATGATCCTGTAGTCTTTTTTCATTAAATTGCTCACTGCTGTGGGAAAATGAAGCGCTTTACAAACCTCAAAAAGAATATATTTCTCTGTTCCTTAGAAATAAAGACTAGAGAGAGAAAAGAGCGGACTCATCACATGGATCATTCATGTCTTATTAATCTCACTTCACCGTTTCTGATGTTCTCCCAATTGTGATGTTTGTCTTTCTTTTCCAGCTTAATCCAGATGGAACCGTCACAGCAGGTAGGATGGGTCACCTGCTTTGTTTGCCTTTGATTATTAAACTTAAAATCTGTTTTACCCTCTTTTATCACAACATTTCAATTTATACCAGCAAAGAACTGTCTCGTCAAAAACAAGCTCATCACCTACTTTAATATAGGTGGATGAATTCTAATCTCATCATCACAAATCAAGAGTAAGGAGAAGTAATCCTCTTATTTTCTGTCTCCTAGGTAACTGTCAGACGGGAATAAAAGGAGACAAAGGAGAGAGAGGCCAGCCTGGACCACCAGCTCCACCAAGTGAGTCAAAACTTCAGAATGAAATCAATGGACGGTAAAAATGATCGATGTTTAATAACGGGACATTATTAAACGTCTTTAAATAATTTACTGAGGGAAGAAAATGTTATTCAACTGAAAGACAGAAAGACAGGTAAGACAGAAAGACAGGTAAGAAGAAAGACGCTGAGTGAAGCTGCTTTAGAGAGAGAGAGAGAGAGACTTTTTATCTTTGTGTTTTCTCTGCACTTTGCAACACTTTGTAATCACACTCCTGAGACTCAACCTGTACTTAAGACTTCCTTTAATGGTTGCAGTTAGTCATAAGTCGTCTGTTTCCTCTGTTGCAGACACATTCTTTCCCAGGGGAGGCTGGGTGAGTCTCATTTAAAAGTGCTTCTTTTAGATTTAGCTCGGGGACATCCCGCCTTTATGTTGCCTTTTGCACAAAGGTCTTATATTTTCTTTTGTCTTTCGCGTGTTAATGCAGGGAGCAGGAGGAGACCAGGGCGTCAAAGGAGAGAAGGGAGACAAAGGGGAAGCAGGGTTGTCTGGGCAACCAGGTGTCCCAGGGAGACCAGGACCAGTGGTGAGTCCATGAATACACAACGTCTTCTTTATGTCATTAATGAAACAAGGCTATTAATGAATACTTCCTGATTTATTACAGGGACCAAAAGGAGAGTCAGTGCTCGGACCACAAGGCCTACCCGGGGTGCCAGGTTCACCGGGTGTCCCAGGATATGGCAGACCAGGACCAGTTGGCCCTCCTGGACCACCAGGGCCTCCAGGACTGCCAGTGTCATCATCAAGATATGGCTCAGGTAGAGTTCAGCAGTCAAACACATGTCCCCCAATGATATCTATGTTCTTGTAGATAATTAGATAAATCCACAAGCGTTAATGAGCTTCTTTAAAAAAAAAGTTTGAAATCTTTTTGTTACAGCGTTAACTTTTGCCGGCCCCCCCGGACCACAAGGACCTGCTGGGCCACCTGGAGCTTCGGGCAGTGCAGCACCTGTAAGTGGACTTTTGTCCTCTGGTCATATTTTTTACACTACACATAAAACAAACCTTTGCCTGATCGATCACACTCCAGAGACTGTCCGAATCAAAACTACATCACACGAGATGTACATTTGTTTTGTCTTTGTTTTGTTTTTTCCAGCTGAAAACCTTTTTGAGCCGTGAGAGCATGATGCAGCACACGCTCAGAGACACAGAGGGGACTCTGGCGTACGTCACAGGGACGGGAAGTCTCTACCTCAAGGTCTCACAGGGATGGAAAGAGATACAGGTACTAACAGGGACTGCTTTCAGATATCTCACATAACATAATTTCATACAAGCCCAAACGACCAGTGATGTCAGGATATTAAACAGAGTCTTTATAACAGCTGTTTGTGTTACATTAGAGCTGCATGAAGCTGCAGTGCACACAGACATGACCCAAACCATTAAACCATAACGTACATGTAGGTTAAAGTTTAACTAATCCAGCCAATAAAATGACGTGATAGCAGTTTAATGATTTTCTATTTATTATTTGGTTCTGTTCGTGGTCTGAAAATCATTAATGAGATGTTTTCATTGCATTCAAAATCTGTCAATCCAATCCTGAACTCAAAATAATATTGGGACTGAAAAAGTTCTGCTGAGTTATTTACAAATTCAGAATCACACCCTATTAATAATAAAATAAAATCTGATTACTGGACATTTTTTACATGGCGAACAAGATCAATTATAAATCAGTATTTGACAGAGAGACTGAAAAGTACTTTAGAGCATGACGTGGTTATACAAGTAAGAACAGATCATTTATTTGATCTTTTCATGAAGATTTATTTTGAATGTTTTGCTGTAAAATAAAAAAAGTTGTTGTGAAGTTATTGGCCATTTCATAATGTTGACTTTAATCTAACACTCTGAATATGAAGAGCCTAACAAATCCTCTGATTGTTTTTCTCATTTGAGACATTTCTGTGTTTTTTCTCTCCTGCAGCTTGGCAGTCTGATCCACCTCTCCAATAACATTATCCCACAAGATGAGGTACTTCTCCCTCTTTTCATGTCTCTATGCTCAGTTGTTGTTGAATGATTCTATATATGCATTGATTACTCTTTGAACATCACCTTTCCATGGTTCATTTAGCCTCGAGCTGCGTATCAGATCAGAGGAGACACGTTGGAGAGAGTGCGTTCGGTTACAGAGCGGGTGAGTGACAATAAGACTTTATTGTTTTAAGTAACCCGGCCATAATAACTGGCTTGATTTGAGCTGCTGAAATATTGAATATTCTGAATAGTCTAGTAAAAGGGGATGCTTTGAAATATATTTTGCACCACATGCTTTGATTAAAAAAAAGGCAGATGATTAAATGTTGATGAGGTTTTCGCAGCATTATGTCATTGTTTTGTTCTCTTTTGGGGAAAAAGGCATGAAAGTGTTATGCTCCCCATTCTGCCTGAAACATAAATATCATCTCTTAAACTCAATAATCTAACATGTAGTACGCTGAGGTGGAGAATCACTGACCTGTTTTCTTCCCCTCTTCCAGATCAACCTGGTGGCTCTGAACCAGCCTCACTCGGGCGACATGATGGGACTGGACACGGCCGACCGGATGTGTTACGAACAAGCCAAGGCGATGGGTCTACCTCCGAACTACCGAGCATTCATTTCCTCCCACAGGCAAGACCTGGTCCATGTGGTCTATCCCGGTTTCAGGGAAACTCTGCCAGTTACCAACCTCAGGGTGAGTCTAAAATGACAAATTCATTCTTTAACATTACAACTTTATTCTCCTATGACTTTTTCAGTAATATAACAACTTTATTTTTTAAACAGTACAAACTTATTCTTTGAAAATTACGTTATTCTCTTCCAACTTTTCTCTATAGTATCACAACTTGTTTCTTATAATAGAACTACTTGATTTTCAGAGTATTACCACTTTATTGTTGTATTTTTATTATGATGTAAATCTCTTTTCTTCTTGAATGTGTCTTCTGTACTCCTTTAGCTCCCCCGACGTTTGTAGCATCGTTACGTTTGTAGTCCTCAAGCTACACGTTTGTAAAGGATCCCTCTGGAAGCAAAGAACATCTGGCTGCTTCTAACGCTCCCTGTGTGTCTTCTTTCAGGGAGACATTATGTTCAGGAACTGGCGGTCAATTTTCAGTGGTGACGGAGGACCAATCAATTCCAAGATACCTATCTACTCCTTTGACGGCCGGGATGTTTTAGTCGACCCCTTCTGGTCTGTAAACTTTAATGACTTCATTTTCTTTCTGTTTATTTTGTATCTTTTTTGTTGCTTATTTTAAAATATCTGTCATCTTTCTCTCAGGCCTCACAAGAACATCTGGCACGGCTCCACCAGCAGGGGTCTGCGGGTGTTGGACAAACACTGCGAGACGTGGCGGGCGGACCACATGTCTGTGATGGGCCAGTCATCGAGTCTGACCTCGGGCCTGCTCCTGGGTCAGCAGATCCGGAGCTGTTCCAACCAGTACATCGTTCTCTGCATCGAGACACACAAAAACCTTTAAAAACGCCGCTCATACCACTCTACCAAAGAAGCCACCACGGCCACCTTAAAAGTTGAACACTCGGGGAACAGTTTGAGTGCTTTTTTTTTTATTAACAGAGGATGTTGACTTCAGCAGATCTTTGGTGCTTTGTGTAGCATTTTGTGATGTTTGTTTTAAACCAGAGGATTACATTTAACACCTTGTCTTTCAAGAGGATTTAAGGGCTTTTTTCTCTTCCATCTTCTGTGTTTTTTTTCCGGAGGAGCAAGAAGATTAAGAGGCAATTACAAACTCTTGACATCAGCCAAGTTATAATCTGGGAGTCTAAGCTAACGTGAGGATGATGCTCTTTGTGTTTTGAAGCAATCCAGAAGATTTCCCTTATATTCAACCTGGTGGCACATAATTCAAAATGCAACAGACAGGTCAGTCGATTTTGTAGCAGATGTGCTAATTTGCAAAAATGCTAACATCTCAAAGAGAATGTGGTAAATATTGTCTAACGTTAAAACGATAGCTGCAGCACCTTTCACCTGTTTGTTTAAGGCTGTCATTGCAACAAGAGACGTCTGTGTCATAAAAGAACCAAATATGAAGTGACACAAATGGCTTCTTACACAAGGGTAGTTATCATTGACTGTACATGAGAAGTGGACATAAACATTGGTTATCTTACTTAACTGTTTTGGAACTACCGTTTTTAAAACCTGGAGTCTGGCATATTTGCTTTTCTCAAACTTGGTTGCCGGGGAAAGGAGCCAGAAATTCTATATTTGGAAAAAATTAAGAATATTCCTTGCTACGCCTACATTCTGATTGACAGGTTGCCATAGATGTAATCTGTTGAAAAACCAATAGCCACACTATTAAGCATTTCTTGCTTAATTGTCCATTTTATTCTAGATGGGACAATATTTAACAGAATGAACATCATTACAAACACTTGAAACTAGAGATCAAGACCATAAACTCTTTAAGTTAATGTTTCTAAGGGAATCAATCAAGGGACAAGAAGAGGTATTTTCTCATTAAGCGGCAACCTCCAGTGGTGTTGAAAGGTGAAGCCAATGGGGATGTTCTACAAAACTGCAGTTCCTTGACTGTCCACTTGAGGCTGGCTGTAAAATCCCTGAGAGTCCATTTGACACCAATGTTAAAATGTCCGTTTTTTTACAGCAGAAATAAACATGTTTACAGCCTGATACAAAAAAAACAGCCTGAAAATCTAACTGGACTCACTGTTTGAGATTTTTTATACTCATCCAATTTTAGTGTATCTAGGCTCAGAGTTATGCATATATTTGCATAGTAAGGGGAATGGACTGCCTGTTTCTAGGTTAACTGAAAGTTAATTGCAGATAGCATTTCCAATATAGTGACCGCCATCTTTAAGCTTCAAAACTTCCCCTCAGAAACCAAGGAGTGACATCACTGAGACCACGTCCATGTTTCATGCAGTCTATGTTTCTCATTAGATTATATCAGACACCTTATCAACAGGTGAAGTCGCCCCCTAGTGACCATTAGCAAGAATACAGGTTTAAGACACTTTTTGGCTTCACTTTTGTAAACCACAAGGCAACATCCACTTCTTATATACAGTCTATGACAAGAACCCAGGTGAGTTAGGGATTTCTTCGTATTGTCTTACTGTCTTCTTGTTGTCAATCGACTGACGATGCAGGGATTTGCAGCTGTCCTGAAACGTGGTCGATTTTACAAATGAAACATTTCCAAAGACTTATGTGATGGACGCATAAAGTGTGACTTTCACTGTATTGTTTACAGAACAGAACGAGTTTCAACCGTTAAACAAGTTTACTCAATAGTCAAAGGTCATTTTGTTTCCATACTTTGAATAGTCCCGTGAACAACAGTGGGCCAAGCAGACAGCCAGTGTTGCCACCAAAGTCATTTTTGATGCACTGTACTTTATTTTTTTAATATTTTCTAGTTCTAACATTTTCATCCTTAAAGTGTTGTGTTGTAGTATTTTCAAACATCTTTGTGATCTCACTTCTTAGCAGTTCTTTCTCGCAAACGGCTATTTAATTTAAATCCAATGATTTATTTATACCGTCACAGCACATAACATGAAATCAGATGACAGAATTTAAGAATGTAATTTATCGTTTGTTGTTTGTCAGATGATTGTCTCTTCTCACTCTGTGCCTCTTTTCTATTCTTTGTACAGTTTTTATTTTATGTTACGTAAATAGATTTTTGAAGAATGTCGTCAAACATTTCCATCTAGTTTAAAAAATAAAGTTAAGAAACAAGTTACATATTTTCACTCTGAAAAATACATCCTAAGGGAAAAAGTGAGAGCACATGTTTTTGTATAAATATTGGTGCTTCGTTGAATAAAGTTTTCTCTTTTCGTAAACTTCTTCTGTTTCTCATTTGAATGACCAAGAGAATGAAATCTGATCCTTTGTTACAGAAGTCATACATTGTACTGGATGTTCTAATGCCACTTTTCAAAAATAGCTCCTCAAACACATTTCCCTTCCAAAGGTCACTTTTTCTGGAAGTTTTTTTCTGTCAGTGCCAAACAGCTTTCACCTTGTACTGTGTTAATAAGTTAGAGTACATGAAAGAGTACAGTTAGAGACGTTGAGTTCTTTCACTTTTAACTTACACATCTTTTTTGAGATCGTTTTTTTTACATCAGAACAGATTTTTGTAATTTTTTTTTGGCCACATGGACATGAAGACCTTCAAGGTATTGTTCCTTAAAATGACAACACATTAAAAATATTCAATTATCTCTACTAATCCAATAATATTGGTGTTTTTTTTAACCAAAGTCCTGCATGTGATACAACCATACTAAGAGATCTACTCTCAATGTGAAGGTCCTGTTTGCTCTTCTCCTGACTGCTGCAGCAGCTGAGGGTCAATCTTTCCACCAAGGCAACTGCCCACAGCCGTCTGTCCAAGAGAACTTCAATGTTACACAGGTTAAATACTAACAGATCCATGCAGTGTTGCCTTTCTGACACTTTTGATATATAAGGGTATTTAGTTGAAATTAATGGGTTTTAGTATCATTAAAAATCACCTGCATGCTGCTTATTGTGCCAGCATGCTCATTTATAATCATTGCACTTTTTCATTCCAGTACATGGGCACCTGGTATGAAGTAGAGAAGCTCCCGGCCATGTTTGAAAGAGGAAAATGTAACCAGGCTACATACAGTCTGCTCGATGACGGGACTGTCAAGGTTCGCAATGTAGAGCTGCTGTAAGGATCTAACTAACCCGCTGCCTGAGTACAAAGGATGTTAGTTTGTGGTCATAGCTGCTTAACATTGTAACCTGCATTGATATACAGCAAGTATGGAAGGAAGACGTTTTCTTGCATTATCGTTTTCTGTTCATCACAGGGCTAATGGGAAGATAAGTTCAATTGAGGGTGTTGCCAAAGTTAAGAACTCGTCTCAACCTGCTATCCTGGATGTCAGCTTCTTTAGAGGTAAATATCATCTGAGAACAAAATTGCTAATATCAGAAAAATAATAGATTTGCCTAACACTTTTCTATGCTACCTGCGTCCAGGTGTTCCAGATGCTCCATACTGGGTTCTCTCCACAGACTACCACTCACATGCTCTGGTGTACTCTTGTTCTGATTACTTTGGCCTCTTTCACATCGACTTCGCCTGGATCTTGGCTCGCACTCGGGTGTTGACCGGGGACATTATCCTTCAGCTGCATGATAAGCTGGCTGCTGCTGGTGTAAAGGTTAACCGCCTTACGGTCAGTGACCAGACAGGATGTGATGTCATGACCTAAGTTATAGAAGTTTGAAAACTAGAACTATATCCAATAACTGTAACCATTTGACTTCTTCATGTCATAAATCAGTAATAAAAAAGCATACTAACATCACACTGTTAACAAAAAAAAGTCTGCTTGTGATGAAGTTAAATTTTAGTGCTTTATTGTCTCTGCTGTGTAATGTAAACACACACAACATTAAAAGTTGCAATCTTTCAATGATTCTATTTTAAAGGGGAGTTGTTGATGGCGATTGTATACTTTATAAAATAAAATGTGTCTTGGAGTTGAATATTTTGGGCTCAGAGATATTTATTTTTTGTTACATTAACATCTACATACATAAGCTACATACATACATATTATATTATTTTTATATTAAAATGTATTACTGTATTATCACTACTATACTATTTTTTTTACTACACCTGAAATGCATTTACTGCAATGCCAATATGTCAAAAAATAAGAAAACCCTCTTTGTGAGTCAAACATACAGCCTTGACTTCATTCCCAGTTCCGAGATCCGAGGTAAATGGAACTCGGCATTTACCTCGGATCTCGGAACTGGGAATGACATCACACCCGAGTTAACTGCGTTCCTGTTGCAAGTCGGAAAAGCAACATGGACGCTTCCAGGAGTACCTTTGTTTTGTTAGCTGTTTTGAAAACACCTCCACAGAGAGAACTTGCACGATACCATCGATGTGATTGATTTAATTACACAAAAAGACTACTATGCTGCTAATAAACTCAACGGTTACAGCTTAAACATCCATTTGATGCACGTAACAGACATATTGGATCTGAACCATAGACTGTAAAAATCTGAACTCGGGCTACTTGTTTTTCTCCGAGTTTCCAAGTCGTAATTTCGACTTCAGGGGGTTTCCAGTTGACACTTCCGACTGGGAACTCGGAATTTCAGACTTCCGAGATCAACTTGAACGCAGCATAATATATTTTATCAAATTACGCTCCCAATAAAATCACCTTATTACGGAAGAGGATTAGGGCCACACATACAAAAAGTCACTGTCACTGTGCAGGAGTGAATGTTATTCATTTTGCATTCCATAATTGTCACACACTTCCTTCAATATTAATGCCAGCGGACTAATATCTATTTGTGTCCAATATGGATGATAATAAAATGCTTTGTAACATTGTCAAAATACTGATTTTTAAACCTTATTTACTCTATCTCTTTTTACCTATATGGAATGAGGGGCTTCATCAACATTCAACTAAAGAACTGAATGTTAATGTGGTGAAAAGAGTAAGTTGGCTACTCGTTTAAGCAATTCCATAGTAGTTTACACAGAAGTTTCACCTGCTACACCGTCTGGCAACCTAAAAAACAAAAATACAGTATCATTAAACTATAACTGTGATAACACACAGCAGAGACAAAGCATGCCACGGTTTTTGCTGCTGTTTCCCACTCCAGTATGCTCCAGTCAGTCCTGCACGGTCCTGCACAGTGACTATCCACCGGAGTTGGTCCTTACAGGTACCCGTAGATCTGACTTTAAAGTCAAAATCCTCTTCCGTACCTTAGATCTCACAACTTCTCAATTCATTTGCATTAGAAAAGTGAAGCACGGTTTAATGCTACAATTATAAAAATGTCAATGAATATATGGACGCATTGACTTATGGGCGTGCTTTACGGCTTTACGGCGTGCTTACAGGGGGCCCAGGATTGTCCGGCAGCATTATTCAGCATAACACCGGCGGACGAATGACGAATTTACAAGGAGCTCCCGTTTGTTTTCCATTTAGACTAACTATGTTGGCATTGATTTGCTTTGTTCTTTCATGCACACCGTGTTATTCTTCAGTGACGAGGAATGACAGACCAATTATTGGTAAGTTTATTAACACGTTATACTTTACAGCATTCACTCTCTCGCGGTTTGCTGTTTAAGTTGGCTTTCTTTTGTTTTGATTTTAAATGGTGAACTTCTTCCCTCTCTGAAGGTGTTCTGGCTCAAGAGGTTCTCATGCCTAAACTCAATGAAGCCTCTTACATCGCTGCCTCTTATGTAAAGTTCCTGGAGTCCGCAGGGGCGAGGGTCGTACCTGTCATGTGAGGTTTTATCTAACAGTTATTTGTCAATACGAGTTTAAAAAAACAACAACCTTTAACCCACCTTTTATGTGGTAAGTCCCCTAACCTCGTTGTTTATATCTCTACAGGATTGATCAGACACCAGAGGAGTATAAAACACTTTTCAACTCCATAAACGGGTAAAAGTTGTAACTGATTTCATAAAGCAGTAAATCCCTTCTTTAATGTTGTTATTTGTCTTCTTACACATTCAAAGCAAGCACAGTCACGTCGGCGTCTCGGATGGTCACAAGTGAATGAAACCAGCTCAAATATATCTATTTTTTATTTATTTTGGGGGGATTTGTATGGCTTTATTTTAGAGATAGGAGGACAGTTGATAGAGTTAGTAATCCGGGGGAGAGAGAGAGAGAGAGAGAGAGAGAGAGAGAGAGAGAGAGAGAAAGAGAGAGAGAGTGGGGAACAACGCCCACACTTGAGGACTTCAGCCTCTTGCTGCATTCATGTGCTGCCCGGGTGGTCCAAGTTTCCGAGTTGGGAAGTCGTTACTTCCGACGTGAATTCAGTTCGCAGGTCGGAATGTTGTAACAATTGCACAAATGGCAAGTGTTACTGTTAAAAGTTATATTTGAGCAAAAAGTTGATGTGCAATACCTGAATTAATTAAAAGTATGTTAACATTAACAAAACATATTTAGCCCCCCCATGTTATGACGATTATGACGTTAAGTCTGGAAGTCGGGCACCTCATTCTTTTTCGATTTTCCCGAGTTGATGTTCCGACTTGAGCAGGTGTTCGTGTGCATTTACGTTTTTCCGATTTGTCCGACACCACTTGAATGCAGCATCTGCACGTGGAGCGCACTAAAAAACCCACTAGGCTACTGGCGCCCCAGTTACATTGTTTTTATTTTTAGTGTAACACCCACCCTGTTGTGTTCATTCTTCTTAGAGAGCACGCCACATTGTGTGAGCTCTGGGCTTCCATGTGTGTTGTAACTCACTTTCTGCATGTTGTTCCTTTGTTGACAGGATCCTCTTCCCGGTGGATCTGCCAGCCTCACCACGTCTGGTTATGCAAGGGCTGCAAAAATCTTTTATGATCTGGCCATTGACGTAAAAGCTTGAAATACTTGTAAATAACTGGATTAATAAAGAATCAGTGTTTGATTATGCTTCATTCTGTGTGTTTTTGTTTCAGGCAAACCAGAGAGGAGACTATTTCCCTGTGTGGGGAACCTGTCTTGGATTTGAGCAGCTGACCGTTTTGACAAGTGGAAAAAACCTTCTAGTAAATACCAACACCAGTAATATACCACTGCACCTGGACTTCACCAACGGTTTGGCTTTGTCCTTATATAATGTTATGTAAGTTACTTATCAGTAAAATAGCTGTTATTTGTAGGCAGCATCCAAAGCTGTTTTATCATATCTACACCTGAAACTTTCCAGAGGACTGCTCCTGAAATCCTCCTGATGTTTGTTCACACACATGCACGTCACTTAATCAGTTGCTGAGTCAAAAAAAAAAAAAGTTATGAAGCAAACAAAGACTCAAAACACTATGGCTCCCAAAATATATACTTATTTATTTGCTATGTGCATTTAAGGAACACAGAGAATATTAGAAGACCCCTGCCCCCTCTCCCGTCTGACAGGGATAGCCTTCTTCTTTGAAGTGCACATGTGAACAACAAGATCATAAGTGCATTTAAAAAAAAAAAAAAAAAAAGTCAAGACCAAGACCATAAAAATCATCATCTTGTGTGCAGGGGCGTGTCACCCACTTTGAACGATAACACCCCAGGTTGCCGCCGCAAACCGGGGGATAGAAATCTAATTATGTATATATTGAAGTTATTATTTTAGAAACCTTCTAGTCAAAGTAATGACATGGAACAATAGCCAATCGGTGATGGTCTTGGACGGTCTTGATTTAACATCCAGAGTCTGCCCAGTCTGAGAGCGGAACAAGACCGAGTAAAAATGCTTTCGAGTCCGAGACAAGACTTTCAAAAAGTGGTCTTGAGACGAAGAACAATCTCAAGTACTACTCCACTAGAAGCAGCTCTCAAATATCCTATGAAAATGTGAAAGTGTTTGAAATGAATGACTTTGTAACTATTTTTTTGATATATACCTTTTCAAGAAACCGCAGACAGCCGGCTGTTTAAAGGCTTCCCCGCAGAGCTGATGAAAGATCTGGCATCTGAGCCGCTGACAGCGAACGTTCACAAGTGGAGTATCTCAGTGTCGGTATGTCACTCACTACTATGCCTACATCTTAAACTTTTAATTTTGAATATGAAAATTTTGTTAAGTCATTTTTCCAAGTACATACAAAGCAGAAAAAAGGGGAAGCAAAGTGTGGTTAATCTAATGAAAATAACCTCTGTTTCTTTCAGACTCATGAGACAAATGAGGAGCTAAACAATTTCTACAAAGTTCTGTCCACAAATACAGATGGAAGAGTTGAGTTTGTGTCAACAATGGAAGGTAATATCTAAGTAAGATAGTACAAGTTTACGGTGAGAAAAATACTCAGCAGGATTGTAAGAAAAAAGGCTTTCTTTTCTCTTTCGTCTTGGCAGCTTATGATTATCCAATTTACGGGGTGCAGTGGCATCCAGAGAAGAATGCATTTGAATGGAGAAAGCCTTACATCCCACACTCTTCTTCAGCAGTAAAGACCACCTTCTACACGGCGGAATTTTTTGTCAATGAAGGTATGAACACAGCATTATTTCTGGTCTATAAGTGCATTTTTGACAGCTGCATCCTGAAGCCTTTTTGATCGGTGAATCTGGCATTGATTGATTTCTCTTCTTACAGCCAGGAAGAACTTGCACAGATTTAACTCAGAGGAGGACGAGAGACAAGCCCTGATATACAACTACAGTCCCGTTTACACTCAGCTTAATAGCAGCTTCGAACAAAACTATTATTTCTGATTTATGCGGATGGCTGCTTGAATTCGCTTCTCAGCCTCTGATTGGCTGTCTCAATCCCGTGACTTGTGAATGTTTGCACATGATTTGCACTGCACACACTGTTTATCCTGTTACCGAAGAGGTTGTAGACTGTGAATACAATAGATGTAACCTGTATAAAAAAATATGAGCTTATACTTTCCATTTACTATGTATTCAATGACTATGTGTAATATAAAAAGGATCAAGTGATGCGATGAACTGAAAAAGGAAATTAAAATCAAACTCAGGCTTAGCTTTGTCAGCCATTTCTTTTTTTTTTATCTTCTTTGGTTTTACAAACCTGTTGGCATTTTGTTAGCAGCAAGCTTGTGTCTTATTAAAGACCAAAGCGATGGTTAAAAAGAGAAAATAATCTGTACATACATTTGATTTGTCAACAGTGAACAGACCCTTACTTAATGCTAAAGTAGCCTTGTTGTAATTCACGTACCAGGATGCACTTGTTTTTAGATGACAGGTAAACTCTTTATACAGCAATATTCTCCAATGGCCCGCCAACCACCACCACAAGAGCATCAAAAAGAATAGGCAAAAAGAGACCGAGGGCTGATAAAATATCTATTGTTTTATTCTAACATTGACCTTCATGCCACAGTCTGACATCAATCTCCTTCTATGCTTTGGATAACAAAGTTGAGCGTCTTGAAAAAGTCTTCGATAACTGGCAGGAAAGTTCAACGTTTGCCATTTTGCATTTGTAAAGTCCAACTTCAACTGAATTCAAGGACAGCAACAGGAGAACAGAAATGAATAGTCAGATGTATCTTCCAAAATGCTTTATGCACAAATAACACTCAGGTAATATTGTTTCTCTCATTTTTTTTTCTTTTCTTTTTTTTTTTTTTTAGAACAAAATGATATTTGAATAACATTTACACATCAAGCTGACGAGACTGGGATCTCAATCACAATAGTACTGGAAATGTAATTAATGCAATCCAGTAAGGAACATTCAAGATGTCAAAATGACCAAGTGGAACTGAGCTATCAGGGCGAGTGCTGCAATTAACCTCGTAACATGCACTGAAACGCAACACAAATGGCCATTCTAATAAGAAATTAAAATCATGGGAAATTAAACATGTGCCTCAAGAAATTGTCATGTTGCTTGCTTGAATTTCTTCATTTGATTAAGTTCACACATTTTCTTCTATAGATACATCATTTCTCAGGGTACTACACTATCCTACCGGCTTTTTGCCCTCAACCTTAAAGGTCACATATTATCCTCCTTTTGTAACACGTTTAAATAAGTCTCAGAGGTCCCCAAAACATGTCTGCAAAGTTTCTTGTCCAAAGTCCACTCCCATCATGTCTTTTTTCACGTCTATAAACCCCTCTATTTCAGTCCTTCTCAGAACAGGCTGTTTCTATGTCTGTACCTTTAAATGCAAATGAGCTGTGTCTGACCACGCCCCCTCTGGAAGGGGATGTGGCTGGCATTTTCACGCACCATGCCAGATTGTTTACAGTGAGAAGGCGGGCTCAAAGGGGCAGAACAAACACCTTGCTGTTGGAGTGTCTTCCACCTGGGGGAGGGGCTACTCTCCTTTGTGATGTCACAAGGGGAAAATCTGCAAACGACCTGTTTGAGCACACATTTTCTGAAAAGTGGAGCAGGCAGAAGGAGAGGATGGACTTATCTCATAATCATGGGGTTCGAAGACAGAATAGGGACATATATTAAAGTGTTTACGAAGTGTATTTTGTATAATATGTGACCTTTAATCAATGTATTCTCTCAATTAAGCCAGTCAAGAGTAAAGTGAGAGCACTCTCATTATCTAACACTTCAGTTTCTGTACTGGTTATAAGTGTCTTCACCTACCTTTCTTACACATTGTATAAGCATTGATGCATGCAGATTCTGTACATTTTAGTAAGTTGTAATGATTTGGGCTATTTCACCAGAGAATTCTAATTTTGAAAGTTCAAAATCCTTGCAGGTCAAAAATCAAATATTAGCCTTTTTATAGTAGCTAACCACATGTACTAGCTATTACATTTTGAATATAGCTGCCATTTTGGGAAACTCATTTATTAGCTTTCTTGTAAAGGATTAGGTGAAAAAATATACCTTTCCGTAAATATTAAGCTAAAACCAGGGAAATGGTTAGTTTAGCTTAGCTTAGCCTAGCATAGACACGGCAAACAGGCCAAAAAAATAGTCCAGGTCATAACCTCTGAATGAAACAAGAATAAGAACAATTTAGGATAAAATTGTGATAATACAGTAAAATGTACGACTGGTTAAAGTCAGAGCAAACAGGCAGTTCTTGCTTAGTATAAGCTAACGGCCAAGCTAACCAATTTTCAAACCTGTAAGCCAAGCTAGCCAGCTGCTAGCTATATTGTTATGTTAAAAATCAAGACCAAAGAGATGATGAACTTCTTATCCGTCAACATGATAGCAAATAAAAGTTTTTTTCCCAAAATGTCAAACTATTTCGATAAAATTAGCGTCATAGTGGTTCATAAGTGTCGTCCTGCAGCAGGATGTTTCTGACCAAGTAAGGCACAGTGACTAAAACAATGTAATGCTCTGTTTTTTTTTTTAAAGATATTTGTTAAAATTGACGCTTCACAGTAAAACCGTCTAAAATGAACTTTGAGAAACCAATGACACATTTCATCTTCTAAACAGTTAACCTGTCACAGAGTTTCTGCAGCGAATCTGAAAAAAAAAAAAAAACATGAAATAAAGCTACGAGATGAAACGAACATCGGGCGAACATGAACACTGAAAAGAAAATATATCCGTAAGAGCCGAGTGAATGTTCGTGTGCTATTTTACATACTGTAAGAACAACAGACACAACCACAGTCCAACATGAAAGTTCTTCACGACTTTAAAAATAGTTACATTTCTGGAATCTGCACAATTCCAGACACGCAGTTATGAACACTGGCAACCAGTGTTTTTTTCACCAGGCGTCTGTTTTTCAATAATATACAAGCCCACGAGTTATGTGCTATAAGGTTTTTTTTCCCCTCACATCTGAAAAGTCTGTGTGAGAGCAGATGCTTCCTTCTGCTTTTTAAGGAGCTGGTCCATCCTGCTGTGGAGGAGACCACCATGTTTTATCAATCAGTATATTCCAAAACATCACGTTAGCTCTTCGGTCTTTGTCGGCTCTCTGCAGGGCCTTAAAGTTTTAAACTCAGGGCAGAGGATGGGAGGACGGATGTAGAAATAGATCGGCCGTCTGCTGGAAAGGCAGTCTCCGGTTCAGCATGCGGACACAGGGAGCCCAAAATGCAAACCAAAATCAAACTGAGCAACGACAGGTGAGAGTTGCATATTGTGGACGACTGTATGCTTGAGGTTGTGCTGGAGCACAGGGACAGGATGGAGGTTCAGGTAATCGAAAAAACGCATGGGTGGGAAAAATTCTGGGGTGCACAGAAGCCTCAGGAGGCCAAGCTAACCCTCGTCTTCACTCTCCTCTTCCAGCACCTCCTCAAACACGATCTCTGGTAGTCTGAAGCATTCCTCGAAGAAGTTCACCAGGGACTGGCTGAGGTGCTGCCTTGTTGCTTCGCTGTGGATGAAGTGGCCTTCATCTGGGTAGATCTGAGACACAAAGAAAAGGTGTACAGGAGTTTTTACAGGTTTACAACCAAAAATAATAACATTGCAATAAAAAATATTAAAGACAAGTTAGTTTTGATTCATTTTGTAGGCATTGACTAATCCATTTAGCGCTTCCTTTCTGAGTTGTGATTTTGATTTGTCATAACTCGGTTATGTCTACAGGAGTTAACATAATCATATTACAGCAGGTACAACAGGTTAGGTTAAAGCACCAGGAACAGCAACCTGTCAGTCAGTCAGTAATAAGCTCCAATGAACATTCAACTGAATTACATTGAATCTTAATTGGATTAGTTCTGGTGTTATTGCAGGATGCCCAAGAAGGTCTCATAATCTCATTATGTGGAATGAATTCATTGTGAATGAGGGCTAATCCTCCGCCTGCTAAGGGATGCCTCCTGGTTCATAAAGCTCCCAGAGGTTTGAGGAAAAAACTAAACCAGGCGAAGAAAGACAGCCAGAGAAATTGGACCAGGAGCTGTTGTTGTTCCAGAAAAGGGAAAACCACGTACCTGTAAGGTGTAGTTGGCTTTTTCATTGATGAGCTGGGAGATGAATTTTGCTGTGTGCTGGAAATGGACTTTTTCTGGGGGAACAGAATTCAATAAAAGAGAAATAAATGTAAGGACTGAACTTTTTTTTTTTCATTCATGTTAAATTAAAAACGATTTATAGTAAGGTTTTAAAACGCCTACCATCAGCTGTCGGATGGATAATGAGAAACTTCTTATCCATGAACTGAGACGCTCTGTGGGCTAAATTTGCCATCTGAGGAGAAGCGAGACGAAGCAGCAAATCAGATTAAGTGAGACACTTCCATTTTTTTTTACTCGAGTGGAATTAGAAGCAGAAGAATAGCGATCAGATCTTACCGTGTACGCTCTTGGATCAGGTTTAGGCAGTCCCAGATATCTCTCTGAAAACGCAGAGGCTACAGAGGAGAGAGCGTCGAGTGAGAACACTGAAATCCAAATCCTACCATCATTTGATTAACAAGATTGCTTTCTCGTTTCAGTCCAACCATTTTACCGGGAAAAACTACACTTCAGCAGGTCCGTCCTTCTTCCACATTCAAATATATTCACCAATCTACATATTTTTTCAGACTTGACGTCCCCTTCATTTGCAATTCCAAACTTATACAGTGTCTTGGCTTGTCTCTCTCTCTTCCCCCTCAGGCAAAGCAAGAGGAATCAAATAGACGGAGAAATCAGTCACACCAGCTCCTCCTTAATTTGCAGTTTCCTGACTCGGTGAAGCTACAAGAGCACCGACTCTCCGTCTCCGTCTCTGTCACTCTAACTCTGCACTGATTCTACATTTTACACATCTTGTTCTTTGGGTATTGGAGTTGAGGCCGGTGTGGTTAACTCTGTCTGGCTCTGTTATTATTGGGGTCTTGGTATATCTGAACCATTCACAACCTTCTTTGGAAGATTTCTTTTTTACAAACTTACCATATAATTCAAAGTCGGTGATGGGTGAAAGAACAGCACCACACTTCACGGGCGAATCCTCGCCACTGACCAACAAGCTGGTCACAAAGCCTCCGTACACCTGAGGGAAACAAAAACACACATTCAGGTTATTCACCATTTAGAAGGCTACAATGATGGAGCGTTATTGTTTGCAGTGTTCCTTGTTATAACCATAGAAATTCAGATGATAACCCAGAATTTCTTGGGCACTCCAAGAACTTAATGGTCCAAATTGGATGTGAGGTGCACACTCACACTAGTCCCAGTTGTTCCATCCCCTTCCCCTATAACGGGGTCCTACATAATGTTACAATAAAACACATGCATGGCTTAACGTAATCATGAAGGGTGCTTTGTTTACAAGACAGGGGGACTCGACGCCAAGACACGGGTCCAACAAACTGGACTTTATGAGGGTGAAGCGTGCTTGGGCACAGTACGGATTGCCTAGTGCGAGTGCGCCCTAACACACACACATGCATGATTCTTTTAAGGACACACAAACGTCTACTCACCTTTCCAAAAGCTCCAACTCTGGTTTTGTCAATGTAGGCCTCTTTCAAAAGGAAACTGAAAAGATAAAATATTATTTATGAGTGAGGTGAGATTCAAACCAAAGCATCTGCAGGAAAACAAGAATTGGCAGCTTTAAAGGAAACTTTTAATAATAATAATAATAATACATTTTATTTATAAGCGCCTTTCAGGACACACAAGGACACTGTACAACAATCAACATTTAAAAACAGCGATGGATAAAAACAGCATACAATAAAGAAATGGAATGTAGGACAGTGTAATTACAGTTAAAATGTTAGAGTGAGTAGGCGATCTTGAACAGATGGGTTTTGAATCTGGATTTGAAGGATGGGGAGAGAGTCAATATTGCGAATGTCAGGTGGCAGAGAGTTCCAGAGCTGGGGAGCAGAGCAGCTGAAAGCTCTGCCCCCCATGGTGCTGAGGCGGGCAAAGGGCACGGTGAGGTGGATGGAGGAGGAGGATCTGAGGGAGCGGGCTGAAGTGGCGATGTGAAGGAGGTCAGACAGATATGGGGGGGCGAGGTTGTGGATGGCCTTGAAGGTGTACAGGAGGAGTTTGAAGATGATTCTTTGCTTCACCGGGAGCCAGTGGAGTTGCTGTAGGATGGGGGTGATGTGATGGTATGAGGGGGTTTTGGTGACAATATGGGCAGCAGAGTTTTGAACCAGTTGGAGCTTATGGAGGGATTTATGAGGGAGGCTGAGGAGGAGAGAATTACAATAATCAATACGGGAGGTGACGAGGCTGTGGACAAGGATGGAGGCAGTATGGGGGGTGAGGGAGGGGCAGAGACGGTTGATGTTTCGTAAGTGGAAGTATGCAGACCGGGTAATGTTACTGATATGGGATTTGAATGATAGTGTGCTGTCGAGGATGACACCCAGACTCTTAACCTGAGGGGAAGGGGAAACTGAGGAGCTGTCAATAGTGAGGGAGAAACTGCCAACTTTGGATAATATGGATTTAGTGCCGACGAGAAGGATCTCGGTTTTATCACTGTTTAATTTAAGGAAGTTTGAGGAGAACCAGGATTTTATTTCAGATAAACAAGAAGTGAGGGAGGAGGGTGGAAGTGTGGAGTTTGGTTTACTGGAGAGGTAGAGCTGGGTGTCATCCGCAAAGCAGTGGAAAAGTATATTGAATTTACGGGAAATATTGCCAAGGGGGAGAAGGTAGGTGATGAAGAGAAGGGGCCCCCAGGACAGAGCCCTGGGGCACACCACTTTTAAAATCATATAGCATAGAGCATAGCATAGCATAAAGGGACATAGTCATAAATCTGTTGTATTTCTCTCTGCTTGTTGCTGCAGTTGTTGTTGTTTGTCAACACAGATGCAGCAGTTGGCTTTCTCCAACATGGTTCTGGCTCTGCTCGAGGATTCTGCCTGTTGAAAGGAGTGCGTGTTTCTTTGCTACTGGGACTTTTTTAAATGTTGTGCTCATGATGGATTTATGTTGGGTCTTAATCTATAAATTAAAAAACAAAGAGTACAGTCTATGACTTATAAACAACTCCAGTGCAACTGTCGAATAAAAAGCTATTTATTTCATGTTTACTTTCACACCAGTGAAATCCTTTAGACATAATAAAAAATAATGTGTTCATACTTGAGCGCGTCCTTCTGGTTCTGCTCCTCGTACACGCCCAGCTGCTTCTGGATGCGATGCAGCAGGTTTGTCCCCTGGAAGCCGCTCCCTCGGCCGTCACAGCGCACAACCACAGCGCCGAAGCTGCTCACCAGCACCGTGGCCCAGTCCAAGCTAAAGCGCTCCGACACCATCTGGCCACCAGGCGTCCCGTCTCTTCACAAACACACACACAACCACAGTCAACCAGATTAAAGAAACACCTGCTAAATGTGTCATATATAAAAAAATAAACCTGAAATAGTGGGACATCAAAGGAGCATGTGTCTGCTTTTGGACACTAAGTACACAACCTAATCCCTTCTTTCCCCGGCTTTCTGAATATATTTGGGTATGCACTATTTACTGAGGGTTTCTGTGAACTTGCAGTGAGTTAAAATGCAGAAAGGTACAGCTGATTAGAGGCACAAGAATAACAGACAGCTCAAGTGCTTCTGTCTTAAGTTTGGCAGAAAAAGGGAAGTTTGATATCTTTTTTAAAATGCTCATGATTTCACAAAGCCTCTGCTCCCTGTCTAATTATTTGAGGCATGCTTGAAGTGTTTGAGGTGGAAAACCATTCAGGTGGAGAGTAAGCTTTCTCTCTTCAACTAATGGGGCATAGTTACTGTTGCTGTCATTGAATCACACAGATGAATATGGTTGTGATTTTGCTGAAATATGCAAGCAGAGCAGAAAAGCAAAATCTCTTCTTAAATTTGAGCTGCAGACTAAAGCATACCTGGGGCCCTGAGGAAAGACCTGCTAATGCTAATGCTAATGCGAACGACAGGACAGGAGGGACTCATCCTAATCCAGCTAGAGTCAGGGAGAAGAAAACCTTACATGCAAGTAAAACTCTTTCCAGGAGGCCTCTATTTATAAGGACAATCGTGTCCTCATACAACCTGGGGGTGGACTCAAGACCCTGTTGAGTGAAAGTGTGTGCAGTAGAGGCTCTACAGAAGAGAGTGAAAATATGTTCTAATACATACACAAGCAGGAGCAGAGGGTAGTGTGACGCTTCCATGAAGCTGGCAGGTTTGAGGATCTGCAATGACAAGGCTGTGACACAGAGACAAACACGTGTTATCTCAAACAGAATACAGTCAAGACCGGTGAATTCACACACAATATGACGCTTTATAACCTTTAGGTTTCAGTGTTATAATAAACATAAGAATACATTTGCTCTATCCTTTTCTCGAGGGAATCTTTAAGTGGAGAGAAATGTAGATGTAAGAGCCAAACGTCTCATCCTCAGAAAACAAAACTGATTATAACACAATCAAACAGCCTTGTTTATTCCTCTGTGCTGTGGATCAAGCCTGGAAGTTTACGAGAAGAAAGCTACACATGTCAGGTTTATTACTCAAAATATTCACTCAGGACTCAGGGAAGTTAAACCTTTTACAGTTTGAAAATGAAATATAAACAAACACTGTAAATTGTTTTTCCGGAGCTGATTAAAACATACACAACATGCGACAAAGTGCCACAAGCAGCTGTTGCTTCATGTTAAAACTGTCACCTTTAAAGATACTAAATGTGACTTTGTTGCTGCTTACTGTAGTCGTCCATGATGATCTCCTTGTACTCGATCGTGGGCATCTGCATGGAGTCCAGGGTCAGCCTCAGGTTCTCGTTGGTCTCCAGTTTGTAGACTTCTGCGATACCTGCAGACAGAATGTCATTAAACAACAAGATTTAAAAGCCTTTGACTTCTTGATACGAGTGATGTGTTCATTGTTTGGTGGGTGAAAATCAAGTTAGCTTTAATGCACTCTGAAAAAAACCCATTAAACAGCTGAAGAATAAACGCTGATTAGATTTCAGCGCAGAGTTTACTGACTGCTTTTAACATAACAAGGACGGGGACATCCTATTGGCTAAAGATGACACAGTCTGTCGCTTTGGAAATCACATTACAGTATGCTGATGTAGCTGTTGAGCAGCTCATAATTTAATGAGAACATTCACCCCTGAGGAGTAATGTGATTACTGACATCATGCAGGACCTGGCTGATGGACAAACAGTGACTCGGTGCACAGGTGGTCGTTCTGCACGCTAACAGAAACACGTCTCTCGCTTAAAGCAAGGTCGTTTTCATATGGAGCCGATATGCTAATGTGCACAAGGTCACTGTTAATGTCTTTAACATTATTCAGAGCCGTGTAAATGCTAATGTGTGATTGAGTCGTTCAAACACTTACTCTCTCTGTCCTGCGTCTCGCTCTCTGTGCCTCTCTGTGTCTTGTAAACGGAAACAAACGGGATGTCCCGGCCTAGAGAGGAAATTAGAAACTTTGATCAGCTTGATTTTAAATCATTCAGTTTAAAAAACACACAGGTACTGTTTCAGAGCATTTTTGTTCCTGTTTGTGCAAAGAGCTAAATCTGTTTTGATCCCATCCCCAAATTATCTCAACTACCGCAAATAACAGGAGGGAAAAACATAAAAAAACAAACACACAAAGGGACAATTCTTTGCTTATGTAATGCAAAAGCTTAAATAGCTTTTTTCTGTATCTAGGCCACCAACAGAAGCTAAGTCCCTCACACTAAACACAGCCCTTAAACCTTGACTATGAGGGAGAAAGGATCAGAAATAAAGGGATTGATCCTTTTAGCAAAATTTGGTAATAATGTGTTTGTTTGCTCTCTCTCTCCATCATTTATTTTCCCCTACTCCCCCCCTCTCTCTCTTCTCATTTTAATAACACCGTACAGTCGTCATGTTGGGTCTTCTAGTCAGGCTTTGACTTGATTACAAATGTTCCCTGAGTCAGCGATTTGGTGGCACGATGGTCATTTTCTCGTGGTCTCGTGAGATCAGTTAAGATATATTATGAAGGTTCAAAAGTGATACAAAAAGACGGTTGGAGCAGTGATTAACTGCTGAAGCTTTGAGACTTAAATCAAACTTAACACTATAAAAAAAGCTTTTGTGTCTTGTAGCAGCATAACGACAGTGATTTGACATTCTGATAATTATTCATCTGCAAAAGCCCTTTTTCAAATTTTTTGTTGTTGTCAAACCATACCAACAATAACTAATGAAGGCAAAAAGGCCCAAAAACTAAATATAAAAAAGGGGGAGACTTTTAACAGTGGTCCAAAAACACCTTATGTGTACACATTACTACCTTGTTTGAGTGTATCTGTTAATATTTGTGTCAGTAAAGACTACTGAATTATCTATTTGGCTAAAAAAATAATTGTTACTATAATACTATAATTATAACGTATAAATGACTTGGGTCAGTTTAAGTTGAATATGAGGGACAGATGAGTGTGTTAGCTACCTTGGCAGTTGAGCAGGAAGTAGCTCATGTTGAGGCTGAAGGAGCCGCTGATGTATCCACAGCTGTCAGTCAGGGCGCACGACAGACAGCGGCGGTTGAATGAACCAAACGTGTCCGCACTATCGAAAACAAAGAAGAAAAACTGCATTATTTATTATTTTACTTTTACATGAGCACAAAGTAAGCCAAGAGAGAAAAGCTGTACAAACCTGTACAGATGTCTTCGCTTTGGACCGTCCTCAGTGCTCAAGAAGTATCTAAATGGAAATAAAAGACAAGCAAATGTCACGACAGGGATTTGAGTTTAGATTTCACATCAACATAGAGAGAGTTTTGCAGAGCTGTGTTCTCCACCTAACCTGGAAGGGGGGGGAGGGGGGTGAGAGAGAGAAAAACACCTGGAACGAACAAGCAGCACCCAATCTACTCACTAGAATAGATGTTGCATAAATGATTAATGGGGGGAAAACAGGGGATTAAGTCCCTTTGGAGCAGAAGTAGGCTGAATTGTAATTTTTGGGTTGAGAGTTCTCCAAGTCCCTTCAACACCTGGGGAACGATGAGTCACTGTTTCTATATGTGTTGCTGTGAATGCAGTCGTGTACATGTGAGATCATGTTAGTGAGATCACAGCTGCCTTGAAGCGGTCTGCAGTGAAGTCGTTAATGATCTGGGAATGATAGCGATGAGTCACATTCCTCATGGGTGCTCAGCACATAGCTGTGGACTATGTGTGACAAAATAAGCTTGCAGAACAACACAAGATTTCTCTATATTGGGGCAACAGTGATATTTATTCATAACGTATGATAATCAGCGCACATATTGACAATGAACAGCCTCATTTGTCTGTTTGACAGCAACTAACAATACCTCTCTGCTCTGTTCATGATGCTGAAACTTTTAAAATGTCTGTGTCTGCAGTGCTGGAATATTTTAACCATCCGTGTCTCTGTCCAGGGTGCTAGAAAAATGCAACTGTGTGTGTCTCAGTGCATGCTGCTGAAATATTCATACTGTCTGTGTCTCTGTCCATGGTGCTGAAACATTCAAATTGCTTGTGGCTGTTTTCGAAACTGCCTAATACATACTACTATCAAACGTAGTATGTAGTATGACTGCAAATCGGTGGTTATAATGCAGTATGCTGGGCACGGCTAAGCTGGTTTTAGGTCTTGGAATTCAGAAGTAAACAACAGCCCAGCTGACAGCAAACACCACTACAGTGTAGCATCGAATAACGGTCTGAAAAAAAGTGATTCATTTTGATTTCCATTATTGCGAGAATCCAAAAAAGATAATTGGTGGTATCTTTGTTTTGTTTCGTCTGATTGTGATTATTTCCCCTCTTAGGATGGCCGTCACTATCGTCATTTCGATCTCATACCTGGAGTATACTGGATTTGAAATGCATTTGTTCGAATACTACAAATTAGCACATAGTACTGCTTTAGTAGGCGGTTTCTAAAACAGCCAGAGTCTCAATGCTGGAAGTTTTAAACCATCTGTGTCTCTGTCCATGGTGCTGAAAATGTAATCAGTTCAAGAAATGTTTAGATTTCCTTTTCATATCACATTCGAATAAAAGTTACTTTGTTTATTCTTTATTTTTGTATAACCAAATACAGGGATATACGGGATATAATGTGCTTAAAAATCCCCAAAAGCTTTGACGTTTTCAGTTAAAAAAAGATGACTTTGCAGAAAACCCTTTGACTGGGAGGTGAATTATCCCAAGGGATAGTGCAAAACCGATAAAAACACATCTGCACATTATACATCAGTGTCTCTCTACTGCAGTTCAGCAGAAATGGGATATGAAATGGTGCTGTGAGCAATTTCTAACTTGTTTCCATGTGTTCAGCTTGTTTTTTTACATTAGGATTTCTTCACTGTTCTACATCCATGAGGTTCTTTTTAAGATAGCTCAATTATCCTCAGGGGTCTACTTGAGAAAATGTTTCATATATAAACAAATCAGGTAGAGATGCTCTGTGCCTGGGAGGAGAGCTACTTCAAACTTAAACTCACCAGCTAACTAAAATCCTTCACCTGGTCATAAATGAGAGGATAATTGTGTTAAATCAAATTCATTTAGTTCACTTGAAAAAAATGAAACTTTTAATAAATAATAAAATAAAACAACAGATAAAGTCATGTATAATGTTGTCTGTGTTGTGTTTTGTGGGTGCTCACATCAACTGGCTCTCCTCGTTGTAGGCTAGGACTTGGGTGACGTCCCAGTCTCCAGACGTGATGGACTGCAGTGTGTCCGTGCTCGTGTTGGGCTTTGGAGTGAAACGATCAGCTGTTAGATTTATCAGAGGACGAACACTGAACATCTAATCAGTTTTATTGTTTAAATGTCACCAAAACAAAAACACATTGAGCCACAACAAGTGTAACTGCAGGGTTACACAGCTGTTAGAACATTATCACGATTTACAAATGTATCAAAGTGGCTGTCTGTAGGGATAATTATTATTATTATAAAAGAAGAAAAAGACTGAGAGAAATATGAACAGGGACATTTTCCTACCTGTGAGATAGACATGGAGATGTGGAAGAACTTCCCCCTTCCTCCTTGCGGGATGGCACGAATGAAGAACAGCTTGAGCCCATCTTTGGAAAACAGAGGCTTCTCATTCTGGAGACATGGAGGAGATTGTTCCAATACTTTATTTCACTAAGTGGGACACCCCCAAAAATGGCCACAAAATAATGTAACAGAGTCTACATGCTTGAAGTAAGGGAGTCAAATTGATACACATTTTAATTATCGATATCTCCAAACACAAACTTCCATTTGTCAATTTTCTCACCTGTCTGTGCAGCCATCTTTCACTCTCATCCTCATGTTTCTGTAGAAACAAGTTGGCAGGATTTTAAATAGTATTTGAAAACATGTTCGACCGTCTTTGCATACAACAGTATTTCACAAACACACAGGGCAGGGCCTCGGTATGTGCCTTTCTGTTTATGTGTGGATGTGTTTTTCCATTGTTTTTATTGATTGATTCGAGTGGAGGCAGCTGAATGTCTGGCAGCACTTTGAGTCCAAGACTAATTTCCCAGAGGGGACAATAAAGAGTGTCGTATCATACCTTTGTGCACACTCCCGTCGTGGCCTCACACAGCGTGAGGATGGAGATGTTCTGGGCTCTGTTCAGCCAGTTGATGGCCAGTTTGGTTGAAGTGGCCCATTTCACCATGGTCACATAGTACTCACTGAAAAAACAAAAACATATTACATATAAATACTTGTTTTTCATTCTATGGTGTCTAAATCAGCCAATAAAATCAGCCCAACTGAGATACAAACACGAGACTACTGACACTGATGAAACTATACGATCACTATTGACTAAATGTTTCCTAAGTGTAATGATGATGGACTTTTCAAAATGAATGAATCATTAATGATCTCTCTTATGAGCAGGATATAATGAGCCAAGCAAAAGGGCAATGCCAAATTGAGTGTGAATGCAAAAAGAGCAAATGGAGACATTAAACTTAATAAAGTGGGACCACACTTAGCAAATATGCAACGCCGGAGGGCTGCAGTTTAGAGGATCTTTGCAGGAAATGTACAATAACAGAGCAACAAACTCATGCAAAAGAACATATGATATATAAGCTATGTGCACACCTGTGTTATTAAAAAAAATGATTATACACATGAGAGAATACATGCAAATGGAGAAAATCTGTAAATTAATGGAATGAAAGCAGGAGGTGGAAAATATGCATCATTTGATAAAGCAGACAGATTGATTGGTTAACAGTTTTTTGTCCCTCACCCGATCCTGGGATCATCAGGCCTCCTCATCTCGATGGTGTGAAGAGGGCCGTTCAGGTTCACGACGTACAGAGTGATGACCGGGTTCTCTTCACCGGCCTGGGCGGGTTGAGCAAAATGGAGACATTAGCAAAAAATTTAAATCTGAATAAAAATATGTACGCCAAGGTTATTAATGTAGTGTTAAGAATGAAACTGCACCTTAGGGTAGTGGTACTCCTTCCCCATGGGGTAAGGTGTTCCTGTGAACATGGGCAGCTCCATCCTGGGCACCAGGGTGTCATTGATGGTGGCGTACGCTAACCTGGCACCATCTGGAGACCACCAATGAGCAATGTGGGACTGGAAAATCTCCTCTGGAGGAATGAAGAGAAAGTGACCATCAATCAAACTGACTGAGAATACAATCTGTTGTTACTCATTAGTAGAAGAGATGAACAGGCTTTTGGGCGTATGGACATAATCTCAGGGAAATGCAGAAGTGTCTTTTAAACTGCATTCTTTTCTAATGGCCAGCAGGGGGCGACTCCACTGGTGGCAGAACTCTTGCTTTAATACCTCAATATGTATATAGATCACACTCAGATTGGTGCCATGATGGTATTCCACTTCCTATGTACAGTTTAAGGTCAAAACCTGTTTTACCCAGTACCAGGTTACAGTGACAGGACATCACAAACTATCTACTGACAATACGAAACATAGGTTAATCAATTCAGAACTTCCCCAGAAGGAGTAATAATTCACCTAAAACTCAAGACGAGGCATAAAAAGTACCTTTCCGCCCCATCAGACACAAAGTACTCTGCCTCTTCCTGCTCCTGTACACTCTAACTCACTTTGTACCTCTTTCCTTAACCTACACACAACACATAAAAAAAAAAATACTGAGTTCCAAATGTTGAGGTCATAAATCAGAGCAGCTTTTAATCTCGGTACAGCCCGTCGACCGAAATAGATCTCAGGTACAATTCCATGAAACAAACCAAGTAGCAGCAATTTCTCACCAGGTACAACTACACGCTGTTCTCCAGAGAACTTTTCGAGTTGTTGTGTGTGTGTGTGTGTGTGTGTGTGTGTTCCACTTCCAGCAAGAAACTCACTCCAACCCATTTCAGACCTGAGACCAAGAGGGCTCCCTTGAGATCCACTATGTACAAGTTCATTCTAAAGTTATGTAGCAATCACGCACGCTTGTTGATCAGACACAGAGAACACAATGATGAGGACAAGAGCAGCTTATGCTGTTAATCTGTCCTGCTGTACAAACACGGAAATATGTAGCCTGAGCATTTAAGCATCAAAACCTCCAGGTCTGAACAGTGTAGCTCATTCAGAAGTGTCATAAAGCTGCATTATTTCTAGCAACCAGCAGGGGGCGACTCAACAAGTTTTGATAAAACTCTCAATTGCAAGCCGGAGAAATCGGCCTAGACAGCACTTTATATAATACATCACTAAACATTTTCCAAATTGGTTTGTCGTCAAAAAGCTAATCACAAGCCTGCGCTGTCACAGAATGCTGTTTAATTTATAATTACGGCCTCAGAGTACAAAAGATTAACCCCTTGCCATTTCCAGCTCCAACTCTCATCCAAACATTGCAACCAGGATGGCCAGGGCCAGGATGCTTAACCCAAGGCTTCAAAACTGTACTTCACCAAACAATAGCTGAAATCACTGTGGTAAAATCCACTCCTTTTAAAATCTATCATTAAAACCAACAGAACACAGAATCAGAAGAAATGATCTGTTCATCACAAAGCATGCTAAAAAACGTGAATTGTAAACGAAATTCGATTCTTAAAGAACAACTGGTCTGCAAAAAATCATGTTAAAGTGGTGAAAATAGCTTCATGTTCTTATCAGCCAGGACTTTGCCCGACCTGTTTGCTATACAGGGACTCTCGAACTCCCCCAGTACTTCTCTCTAAAGCTACACACACACACGAAAAACAAGCTGAGTTCCAAATGTTGAGGTCATAAATCAGAGCAGCTTTTAATCTCGGTACAGCCCGTCGACCAAAATAGAACTCGGGTACAATTCCATCAGCAATCCAAGCAGCAGTGATTTCTCTCCAGGTACAACTACACGCTGTTCTCCAGATAACTTTTTGGTTTGTCATTGCTTTTTTTTTTTTTTTTTTTTTTTTTGTTGTTCTTTTTCATTTTCAGCAAGAAACTCACTCCAACTCATTTCAGACCTGCGACCCGGAGGGTTCCCCCGAGACCCGCTGGGGTGCAGGTGTGTTTATTTAAAGTTATGTAGCAATCACACACACTCTTGTTAAAGTGACAGGGAGAACACAAGAGAGGGGGGGGAGAGAGACAAGAGCAGGCTGGGTCCTTCAGCCCTGCTGCTGCTGCTGCTGCTGCACAAACACACACTCGCACTCTGTCAACACACTGTGAGTTGTTAAGAATTTATGCAAATAAGATGTCACAGAGGAAACTCTACGACAACACAAAGCACTGCCCGTGACAATTCCACTTCATTATTAAGTCTGTTTGTGACGACGCAGACGGCATCGGAACACTTGGACTTATTGTTACGGCGTGCCACAGGCTACATTTAAATCTACTTTTGCAATTAAAATTTCATTATTGCTGTTTATCCGAGGGACTGGGTGCTGGCTTTGGGGAATTAACAGACATCAACAACCAATTAGCATTTTCATTAAGCGTGTACGCTTGGCAGAATTACTTGATATGCAGGAACAGCAGACAAACAGCCTCAGCGCAGACGCTAATTTACATTTGTTTTCTGATGCAGTCGTGCCTGTTGTATCGACCCATTGGACACTGCTAAAGTTGTTATAAAGACAGACATCCTTATACCTGTGAAATGACTAGGAAAAAAGGGCTAATGGTAGCATTTTGCTCTCCCGCATTCTGCTGGCAGGGCTCAGCTGGGCGTTATTGGATCTTGCTGCCTGGTGATGAGCAGAGCAGCATGGTGCAGTATTACGCTTGCATTTGCAAAAATGACAGAAAAAAAATAAAAATAATAAAAACAATTTCCCGGATGGGCAGTTCCTCCCCCCCTGACGCCTGCTGACTCCAACAGCGGTGGCTTAAAAAGCTTTCCACAGGGGGAGTGGAACCAACCGGGCTGTCGGATCCGCTTGGCTGGGGACGCCCAGTCACCTTGGCAAGGCGAGGAAGAAAGTATTAAAGTTTCTAGAAGTGTCCGGATATGTGCGGGGGGGAAAGGCAGCGAGGCACGACACACACAAAAAAAAAAAGTGATAACGAGAAGAAGGATTGTAAGTGAAGCACGTTCTCTCATTTCTCCCTCTTAAGTAATGAGACTCTCTTCTTTCTTTTTTCCAGACGCCTCATTGTGATGATTACTAAAGCTCATCTCCTCTCTGCATGTTCTCCATGCGGCTGTGCAGACTACATTATTCACTTAGTAAAGGTCATTATTAATGCATGAGACACTATAAGTCAAGGGGCCAATGTGAATTAATGACTGCCTGATCACAATCACAGACAGACTGAACTGATGATTCAAAAAAGAATCCAGTGCTGCAGGTTGCATTTAGTTCATGTTGTATGAATATTTATGTAGAATATTAAATCAAGTTAAGTTTGTGTTGACAAGTTCACTGTTAACAATGTAAGAATAACCAAATGTTTCCAACAGAGGGCAGCAGTGTCATGTGTAAAAACTGCAGCTTTTGCCTTCAGATTTACTGCCAGATGCGGATTTTTAGGCGACTTATTACAAGTTTTAGATGCACAACCTCTTTCCTCTTGTGCTGCATGAATATAGAGAGCCTGTGGTCGACTCCACAAATCACAGGTGACACTATCATCTATCCTAGTCATGTCTCCCAATACAGCAACAAAGAGCCGTATCCTCAAGGCTGGCCTTTGGACTTTCATACTAAATGCACCAAATCTTTATAGCTTGGCAAACTCCCAGGATGTGTGGGATGAAGCTGTTACTAGTTTACTGAAGCAGAGACACACCCATGAGGCTGGTAAGATTAGTTGGCGTTCATGTTTTTGCAGCCAACATGCATGAAAAAAAAAAAAAGAAGCAAGTCAGAGAAGCAGCTGCTACTATAAATATTGAGGTGACGGTGGAAGTGATAATTGTGCAGGAATAGAAAACGCATGAGGGAGGTGAGGTGAGGTTTTGCTCAGCCTCTTCAGAGACTCGTATATAGTGTGAGTGTGGTAACAATAACATCGCAACATGAGAAGAGATGTGAGGAGACAACGTTGCATTTTTTTTTAATAAAGAGTAAGCAAAAAAGCAAAATGGGAAGAAGAATGTGTAAGTGTATTACATCCTCAGTCTCAGTGTTTGGTGCCAAGCAGTCGCAATTTAAAGGGGTACTCCGGCAAGTTTTGATCCATTTATAACAGAAATCTTGCAGACATCTTTAAAATATTTTGGAGTAGGGGTTAAAAACTAAAGAAAGGCAGGGGATATTGTGAAATGTAGGATCAAGCACTTTCAGAAGTTGACCATTACTGGAAGTTCTAAGGGAGGCTAAATCAGCCTCTGCTGTTCAGTTTACTCCATGTTCTTTTTACTGTGCACTAACAGTACAGCTTATTGTCATGGTTTGTGTGCAATATACTTGGGAAATGTGTGTGGAAGTGTGCAATATCGTGTTTTTATAGAGATGTTTTCCTTATTTTTCTTTTTTATGACATCTGCCCCCGATAAGGCAATCTCTTGCAATCTCCCCAAACTTTATTGAAATGCTATATTCAATTACTGGAGTACCCATTTAATCCTGGACTTTACACAGGAACTTTCACAGCAAAACTATTATTTTTATTGCTGTTGTTTTTTTTTTGTTGCTCTCTCTCTCTTGTCCTCCTACAAAAAAAAAACAAAATAAAAAACACACAACTTCCAATTCCATCTGGTTCAACCCTCATTTGTTAATATGGCAATAAATAAAAAGTGGAAAAAAGTTTGAGTGTGATCATGAAACTTTGGCTTCATGATTTTCCACAGAAAACTAAAATAACCATCCCCGATTTGATCCTAAAAGTGTCTTGTGAGATGTTTGTTTACCAGTACTTCAAATCACTATCCTGCAGTGGCAACATCAAAGTAAAAAGATACCAAATCTTGCAAAACAACTCATTAACTTTCCTGTCGTGCTGACAGACACTTCCAGAACCTCACTCAATCTGCCAGCAAAGCAGCTTTGAAGCACAAAATACTTCTACAAAACTGCTTCCAACTGTGTGTCTCGGTTGCACTCACACCAAACTCAACACCAACATTTTGATTCCCTTTTTTAATCTTCTCTTTTCCAGCACACGGGGTGTTGATTATGTGGTTACTCCACGCCCTGCAGGCTGAGCCACAAACAGGCCGATAAACAGACACGACTCCATGAACGAGCCTCTCAATGAAAAACTCGTCATCTAACCAAACATCTACGGGGCAAACATGACTCAAATCAAAGCGACGCTGGGTTTTTATCTTGCTGCACCAGAGCCCAATAAACAGTTGTCTCTTCGGGCTGCGTCACACTGCAGGATGTGTCAGTATCAGCGCGGCCGCCGTAATCAGACAGCCGGCAGATGACAGAACACTCCAGACTCTCCAGAGGCAGTTTGGACTATTACGCACAGCCCACAGGGTCCCTTTAATTGTTTTTTTTTCTCTCCCTCTTCTCCCTCGTTTTCTCTCTCATAAACACACAAACACATTCATTGGATTCAAACTCATGCAGAGTGAGCCAGAGGATATTCAAGCCTGGGAGATTATATGCCAACCTTTCACCCCTCGGCATCAAATCTGCCGCGCAGCGACAGCCAGAGCTTAAGACCTCATTTCTCCTCCTCGGCGGCGGCGGTGGCGATCTGAGCTTCAGCTTGACCTTGGCCAGAGCACGGTCTGAGTCATTAGTATGAAAATCTTCAGCCCCGCAGTCTCACTGATGAATGTAAACATTACACAACCTGGCACGGCTGCTAAGCTCACCCTGCAGATGCTGGCATCAACACTTGGGCCGATGCCAAATCTATTTACAGGCTTAGGGAGTTTGTCAAAAAGGGATTTGTCATTAATGGGAAGGAAGAAGGACTTTTAAAGTATTGGCAAAATGATAGAAATAAAACCAGATCAAGACAAATTTAATCTGTTGTAGCTAAAAGTTAAGACATTACTACAACGTTTTATGTCATTGTTAAACAAAAATCTCGTTCTGAAATGATCCTATCCTCCGCTATTTTCCGACAGATTGAGGAGCCTTTCTGCAGGGATTTGCTCCCCTTCGGCCTCGGGAGCAGCGGTGAGGTCGGCCACAGATGATGAGGTCTGGCTCACAGTCGGAGCTCTTACTCAGCCATAAAGTGCTGGGACGGGGTCGAGGTCAAGGCGCCGCAAATAGAGCCAAATAGAAGCACTTTATTTAAACCCTGGGATTAGTGTGGGAGCACTTACATGACTTCAGGAAATATCAAACATCATCGAATCATAAGTAAGTTATAATTTAATGATGCAGCTTTTTGGAGATAAGTGAAACAGAGGGGCTTATCTATGCTGTAATAAATGAAAAACAGACGCAGACAACACAGCAAAAATTCTTCACTATTAAAAACCTTGAGAAAGTTAAAGTCTACTCTCATGGATACTCACTCATCGGTCACTTCATTACGTTCAGCTACATGGAACTATTGTAGTCTTAAACAGAATGGCTGCTTTGGTTTAAGTTGGTCAGCTCTCAGGGCCCCCCCTACTGGTCCGGGCCCCCCCTACTGGTCCGGGCCCCCCCTACTGGTCCGGGCCCCCCCAAGCAGTTGCCTGTCTTGCCTGTTGACAAGCAGGGCCTCTGTGAATAACAGCGACACCTGCTGTACAGTTCAAACGCCTCACAAAGTGATGTTCAGCCTCTCAATAATGAACTCGGAGTTTAAAGAACATCGCTTTAAAAAAAAAAAAAAAAAAAAAAAGATTAAATCAAAAGTGAACAATTTAACCAGGGAGAGGTTAGGATTAAAGCAACTATGATATCAGACAATGACTCGTTCATTATATCTTATTTATCTCTGATACTGTTTTTTTTTTTAAGATTTTATCTTCAGAATCAGAAATACTTTATTAATCCCAGGGGGAAATTTGTTTGCTACAATTGCTCATAACACCAAAAATCAGTAAGAAGTACAGATAAGTTCACAATATAAAAAATAAAAATAGTAATAACAATATAATAAGCATAAGTACCAAGTGAAAGCAATAATAAAGTAGTATAAGTAATAAGCTATGTTCAAGCGCAGGTAATTGAAAATATAAACAATATTTACAAATATGAATATACACTGATGGATTAACAGCGTAGATATTGCACGGTTCATGTATAGATAGCACTTTTGATGTGTAAATATTGTCCAGTTTTCAACAGATTGCACAGTTTTAGTAGAGAAAAAAACATAATGACAGGCAAACAGAACAGATAAGAAACTCTTTGTCCAGTACATGAATATCAGAAAATTTAGTTTTGCTCCAAATGTCTTAGAATAGAATTTGTTGATCCATTTAAATATTATGAAGCCATTTCTGTGCTTATCTGCTGATGAGAAATCTATCTGGTCCAAAAAATAAGGAGTGTAAATCACCCTCAGTGGCACATTAATACGAGTCAGGGGTCAGATGCTGTAATAACGCTCTGATTAATGTTCCACTGGCGGGGAATAGATATTGCTTTTGAAGAATGGACATGGTTTCTAATGTCAGGCTGGCTCACGCAGAGATAAGAGGAGCCGTGTGTTGATAATATTTAATAAAAAAACAGAGCAGATGTGAAGAGGAAACAGCGTTACAGATCTTGTCCTGGTGTGCAGATGACCTCAGATAACCTCTGAGTCACAGCGTATAAATCCTCAGAGGCCTCCAAGGTAGCAACCATTTCCATAATCAAACACAAATGTAATGTTTTATTTAGGGTTATTTGTACGGCTTTAAAGCTGTCTCTATTTCTGCTGTCTTTATATCCAGATGATCCCCGTCTCCCTCTCGCTCTGTTATTAAAACTCTGTTCCACTGGAGCAGGAAGTTCACCCAGCGCAGCAGATAGAAATTCATTAGCTGAATGCTAACACATCACCAATCCTCGTTCTTTTTAAACCGCGAGGCACACAGGTGAGCTTTGATCGTCGACGCTTTGGAGAGCACCCTGACATCTGTATCAGAGTGTGTACGACACATGCACACCGCTGAATTAATGCAAATCAACCCATGTAGAACATTTATTCATTTACGGGGACTTTGTAAAGCAGATGCAAACTGACAAGAGTTTCCATTTTTAATTCACCTGCAGGAAATCAAGAGGTACGCACCAAAAATACTAACGTGGCTGCTGACACATGGGAGGAGAAGTGCCTTATGTCATTACTCCTCATACATCTGGAACTACAGAAGGTTTATATGGGAGGAGAGGAATGAGGTTAGCTTCTCCAGATTTTGGTGGTCAAAATGTTTCAAGTTGGGGGTTCTTGGCCTTCTAACCCAAAAACCTTAAAAATGAAGCTTTGTTTACTTGTGTGTCATCAAACCTAGCTAAAGCCATTGACGAGTAGTTTGTTCAAAGAGTGAGTTGTTGACTCAATTGTTGTAGTAGTGAAAGTATCGTATGTTTAGTTTTCTTTCTAGCTGTCCTAACGCTGCCCTTACTTACATGTATACTTACATGTCTATGGCCGGCAGCGGTTAGCTTTTACTTCAAATGGTGACAAGGGGAAATACTTTTTTTCACAAGAGCAACTGTGATGCCACACATTGATTTATTGATTTCCAGTTAGAAACCTCAACTTTACCATTTCACTATTTCATATTCTGAATAATTTTGGTTAAATATATATAGAAAACAGAAGTATATTGATGACAATTTTCAATTTTTAGATGAAATGTGGGATCATTTCTTGCAGTGGACTTCTTGCTGACATCTCCATAATTGCATGTCCATCGGATCCTGTTTGTGCACATGTGTATTCCAGCCTATGTGTGTGTAGCATGGCTTAATAGAAGAGTGTAAAATCAAATTTCCCCTCACAGGATTAATAAAGTATATCTTCTTCTTCTTCTTCTTAAAGGCTTTATATGTGATTTTTCACACTTAAATGTAGAAATCAAGAATATCCTCTGAAAATAACTCTGTGAGTCATGACTGTCTACAATGGGTGTAACACCCGAGTCCCACTGTCTGTGATGTTTTCAGAGTTTTCAGAGTCCTATCTTCAGTTTGTTTACATCGCCAGGACGGCCGGCTGACTCCTCCCCTCGTGTATAAAAGTTGTTTAATTGAGGGACTAGAGAAAAGAAGAATAACATACTGTACTCACTGCTTAACTGTGTTTCTAGATCACGCTCATTTCAGGTAAATTTACATGCAGTGTGAAGATACCAGCATAATAAAGATCACTAGCATTAGCATGCTAACACAACAATGCACCGCGAGTTGTTTTGGTTTCATGCTGGTGCTCAAGGGCGACATCTGCTGGATCAAAAAATGTTTGCATTTTAAACAGGCAGATGTAGAGAGGCATCATTCTTTATGTGTCGTCAAACTCTGCAAAATCAAGTTCATATGCAATTGTGAAACTTTCTTTCACATCTGGCACAATGGCATCAGCCTTACCTTCATACAGCCAATCACTGAGCCCATTGAAGATGACCCCTTCCTTTCCAGTAGAGACCAGACGAATGGAGCGGCTCTCCACTGTCGACCGGTAGTAGATGTTGTTCTCAAAAATGAAGATCTGTAAAATTTGAAAAAGAGAGAAAAACACATTTTCATCAAATTTAGACAAACAAATTAAAGTTTGTTTTTTAAGCAGCTCCTGTCCTCCTGAAGTGACCCTGCACAGGAAGCTTTAACTCGTCAAGCTCTATGGAGTCCGATGTGTATCTGAATCTGACTGACAGCCTTTCTGTGGGGATTTTCCTTTAAGTGAATAACTTGTAACATAATAGATTATTATCAACAGGCCCAAGAGGAAACCTGTGGACAGTCTGGTTTTGATACAAACAGGTAAACTGCAAGTGGGAGACCCGTGAAGGGCAGAAGCCATACTATCACTGTTAAGATCAACCCAAGGGTCAAAACAAACAAAGCATGGTGCTTTTTAATCCGACACCTTAAAGAGAAACTTAACCCCGGATTTTCAGCTGTAGTGCTCTACCCTTGAATTTAAAAAAATGCCTTTATTTGGCACCAGGATCTTTTGACTGAGGAAGAACAGAAAGTAAAAAAAAAAGTAAAAAGAGAAAAGTCTTCAGTTTCTGATAAGAAGGAGAAAACCTTGAGACTGAATTTCAACTTTGCAACCTCTTCCACGGGCCTGCGGGGCCTTGAAGATAGCTGAAGGTCAAGTCTTTCATTACTGAGAATAATAGATCATCAGCACCCAGGGTGAGCGTGGTAGGGCGGGTCTGCTCTCGGGGCTGGAATTTTAAAATGTTACAAGCCTTAATGCCATGCTGAAATCAATCGCAGGCTATTACAGGAAAAGGCTTCGCTCAGTATCTCAAGGATTATGGAATATCTAAGCCTCAAGCTGGTATCATGGTATCAGTTTTTTGAATGATTCTCTGAAAAATATTCACTCGGAAAAGGCTAAATGAAGGGCGATGTACAGCAGGAAAATCCAATACCAGAATTGCATTTGGAGTAAAATAGGTCAACACTACAAAGAAAAAACTAACACATGAATGTATAATAATTACACATTTTGCGATATTTTACCGTGAACATTTTCGGCAATATGGCATTGAGAAGACACCTTTAAAACCAAGAAGCTTGTGAAGGATTCTCAAGCTAACCCTGCATCTTTTTTTAACGGTAACACAAATCTGTCACTGCTACTTTCTCTTGAGGAGACGCAAGCTGCGGGGCCCAGGTGGTTTGGTGTCACTTTGGAGCAGAGTCCCTGTATAGAAGCTAATCTAGGCCACAGCACAGAGAGAAGACCTGGCCCCGTTCTCTCTGAAGAAAAGAAGGACTCTGCCAGGGATGGCTGGCATTCACATTTATCCTCAGTGAGAGAATATGGAGGAGGCTGCACAAACTTTGCGACTGTAGTTTGGTTTGTTTTGGGTTTTTGAGGAACCAGGCATGCCACTTACACAATGAGACATTAACTGTCAATGAAAACCTGTTTGACCAGTGTTGGGTGGAGTTTGAAAGATGTTGCATAGGGATGAAAAAGTCAAATAGTGGTATATGTTTGGGACTTACAAGTGTCTGTGTTAAGTGCTCTTTCACCAGCAGGAGACTTAGACACACATAAACCGTCTCTCTCTGTTGTAATGCAACACAAAGTGACAGGCTCTTGGGACAAAGCATCCAAACTTTGATTGTCAATATGTGTAAGCCACATGTTGAGGATTAGCTGCCCACTGGGAGAAGAGAAAAGAAACTCTTCCATTCACCGGGGAATTTACTTTCTGCCAAAAAAAAACAACTTGAGAAACATCTTTGCGCAGACACATACAGTACAAATAAAGTGACACTTTTTTTAGCCAATTAAGTTGACTTCATGGCCTAATGAATAGCAACATGTGGCTTGACAGCTGTGTTTGCAAGTGTAATAAGTGTGCTCCTACTCTACGGGGAAAGAAAAGGAGATTTAATTAAGCGCATAAAGGATTTGGGAACAGAATAACAGGTGGGCTGATTTATGTATATTAGATGCTTAAATATGATGATGCATGCATTGGCTTACAGACTTTGAAAACTTGTTTTAGCTGATGGGACGTCTCACCTTCAACCTCCACCTCTACATCAGAGGGCATCTGCACCTTCAGGGAAACCAGCTGCAGCTCACTTTCACGCTAACATAATTTGCCTGATGGAGGTAAAAACCACGCCATGACTAATGTTGGGAAACTTGAGGCTATATCAATCTAGCGACAGTGTTAATTAATCCACCAACGAGATAGCAGGTAATTAATAGCACTGTGCGGCTGGATGTTATCACTTACAGTGCGTCTTTGCTGCGAACCAACCAACTGAGGCTCATTAATGTTATTACAGGTTTGACTGTGCCATGATGGAGGTGGAAAATGACTCATCTTGGGAGACTTTCAAAGGACCATTACTTGTTGAGATTCAAACAAAAGTGTTTAATTTGAGATTTGTTTAGTGGGAAGCCTCCATGAATCATTGGAAATCATTTGCACCCTTGGGGACAAAATAGTTTGAGGAACAGTTTTGAAGGACTCAAAGTTAGCTTAGTGACCTGAGGAAAATGATGCCTTTAAAAATATGATTAATGAGTCTCTATGGTTTCCCTATGTAGGTCTGTCTTAACGGGCAAACAAGGCAAATTCTCCTCTGAATGTTTTGGGGAAAAGAAGATGTCTTCCCTTGAATCTCTATGCTTTACAAACTGGTCAATTGTTCAGTGTTACGGGGCACTCAGTTGATTGAGGCTGGCTTGTAAAGTCTCATCAATCACCAGCAAATATATCATGTTTAGTCAACTAAATAAAAAGCCATTGGATGAGGTAAAAAGTGGAAGCTACAGGTACATGGAGGGCATATGGATACAGTTGCCACTTCACAGTTTGTCCATCGTCGACTGCATATGTATCTGAAATGTCACAGCTCCGACTGTAACCTCAGGTATGATGGAACTTGTCCGTTTTAAAACCGATATTCACTGAGCTGTTTCAGGTTAATTTCCTGAAATATATGACACTGTAATTGAACAGAGGGCGCTTGAATGCATCGTTAGTTTTGTTCTATCTCAGGCTCGACCCACCTTCACGGGCTGCAACCTTCATAATGTCTGACATCTGTATAAAGACTGACATTGGCATCTGCATGTGATTATGGATATGCAAATGAAGTAACCTTGAAGCTGCTCTGATGAACTTTTTCCTATTGACAATGAAACAAATTATTGCATTTAAGTTAATTGGCATTGATCGTACTGAGGAACTCACTGAGTATTATCACTCGAATCTGCAGTTTCTGTCAGTTCCATTCAAGATTTTGTTGTATTTCAGATCAACTTTTTGATTTAAAAGCCTACTACTTTATTTGTGTAGTAATAGTCCAACAGCTCTGTTCAGTGTGGTATATATAGCTCAGTATAAGTCGATGATCATAATAGCATATCCATAAATATCATAAATAGGACATTTGATTTTTTGAAGAGAGTTTGAGTGTGAATGCTGTCTTTGCTTTTTTTGTCTGCTTGTTGAATAAATAAGCAAATATTTGCAAATTATTTTTCATATCAACCAACCAAATAGCTCCCGGAAAAAAAATCCCCAAATAATAAAAATCAATTGATGCAGGATTAAACAGAGGAAACACAATTACCTTTCACACTCTCTTCATTACTCATTCCAGCTACATCACTGGGTCAAAACAAATTTCCCTTTCAATGAGTATGCTTGCTTCCTCTAGCTGCACAAAACTGGCAGTAAAATAAGCTATATTCTAACTCTTTGTACATCATTTGCACATAGCTACATGTATACTATTTTCTTTGAGCCTAGTATGCTTTATGTGTTTGTTGTTTATTTGTTCTTCTTATTAAAGACAGGTTTGAATGTGTATTTGAAACATCACAGGTCAACAGGCAGGGATGAGACCAGGGACAGAAATTGAGGTTCTTACCAGTTGCTGTCCCCGGGGTCCCCAGCCTGCGTACTGAAGCTGAGCGTTTCGCACCTCCGGAGGGTTCAAGTTCCACGTCTCCCTGGGGGTGCACACACAGGGGGAAACAATGCTATCAGATAAAAAGTGCAGACACTTGACACACGGTAAGTGTCTGCTCCCGGCACTGCTGCAACAAGGGAACAAGTGTATAAAACCCGGGAACAAAAGGTTTAAGTGTACCCATAAATACCGGCTCTCCATAACAGTGTCACCACTCTCTTATTGGGGAAAGTGCTGCTCAGTGCAGGCTGCAGAATTAGAGGTGCCATTGCCTGTATGTCTTTGTCTGGAGCTCAGGATGGATGAGGTCATCTGATGAGAGGGGTTTGTTTGGCCGATCACCACTGGGTGGCAGCAGACAAATAGATTTGTGATCAAGAGCAGCTGAAATGTCATTTGATTTAATGATGTGACCTGTTATGACAGTTATTTTTTTAAAGGGAAATAAGGGAGATTTCTACCTGGTGATTAAATGCCAACAGTTTGTTTTGTGTGATGATCAATACCAGTTAATCAAGGCTACAAGTACTGGCTCTTAAAACTTTCTGTTTTTGAAAACATGTGTCATGGTTTCAATAGAAATTAATTTCAAAGTGTGCATCTTCTACTTATTTTTCTTATTTTCAACACAATTAAATGCAAATTAGAGGGGTCAAATTGGAGCTAAGCATGCAGAATTAATACGTTTTCCAACCCTGAAGGACACTACAGTTACAAGAGACAGACTCAGATTTTGCATTGCGCTTCCTTCTCAACTCAAATTACACATCAGTATTATTTTTGGAGCGCATTTTACAAACCCTGCCCCAAGCAGTCTTTTTGATCATTGCTAACCAGAAGTTTTTGTTGCTGCTTTAAAAGCTTGCTTTTTGCAAAAATGTAAGATTTTGCCTTTGATTTAACAACATGAGGCCACACATCGCAAGCGATTCTACTTCACAGAGTGCGTATGTGGAGGATTTAGAGTTAACAACGGAGCTGATGATGTCAGAGGTGCTCTGTAGGAGGTGCGAGCGAGAACAGATGGGAATGAGGCGCATTTCAGTGTTGCAGGTAGAAGGACAGGTGAGATATTAGAGGATAATGAAATACAATAAAAATGGAACAATGCAGCCCTGTCGCCTACTTACGGAGTCTCCAGACTGCAGATGATGTAGAAGGCTGTGTAAGAATGCTGATACACCTGGAGGCAGAGGCAGATGGAAAAGAGTCACATCAGGCTCACCTTGATATCTTGATTGACAATGAAGAGCTTTTTCTGATATTTTTTTAAAATCAATGGATGTCAAAGTTAAGCAAAAATGTCCGAAAACTTTCGAAAAAGGAACGTTTTGACATGAAAATTACTTTTTAAGTTAATTAATTCTGAAGCAGTGAAAGAGTATTCTGTACTGACTAAAACATTAGTAAGCTTCAGATATCAGGACTTTGGAATGAAAGTTAAGTCACAGTGACTTTTCCCTCTGAATACTAAACATGGTCACTTCAGGTTAAAATGAGTTTAAGTTGACGTGGACGATTGTGCAAAATTTTAAGATAATCCCTTAAGAGTTTAAACGATATTTGTACAAGAAATGGATATAAAGACAGACCAGAAAGGTGTTTATCTGGGCCATTATGGTTTACGATAATGGTTTAAGTTGCCCGTTGACCACCAAATTCTAATTATTTCATCCTTGAGTCCACGAGGATGTTAATGCCACATTTTAAAATATTTTCTCCAGGTGTCGCCAAAATAGACAACTACTCTTTGGGGACAATATGGAACTAACAGTGAAGATGACATGTGACCATTCAGGTAAAAAACGATATCCTATCTTCATACTTGAGTGAAATTGTGTCATAATTAAGGAATGGATTCTTAAGCTATAGACGAATCCGCCAAGCGATTTGTGGACGCTGCCATCTTGGGTGTGTCAGTATCCTGTGACATCACTGGTGGGGGTGGTTACAGGTGAAAGAGGCATTGAAACTTGGCAAGAGAAAGCAGAGAACATTCCTTTATAACCTGATTTTGAGTTACTCAATCTTTTCTTTTCATATCTACTTTCTTACAGTACTTAACTTTCTCACCGAAAAACGCAAGCAAAACCTCACTGGTATCATTAAACCTGCAGCAAAAAATCCCCGGCACCACCCAGATCCAACTGTCTGAACTTTACATGCGAGCAGCAGAAAGGAAAGCAGTCTGCATCACTTAGGACTCCTCACATCCCTTTCACTGCTCATTTCAGTCGGTCCCCTCAGGCAGCCGTTTCAGATTACCATTAGCAAAAAAAGAAAACTTACAGAAACTATTTTATACCCATTGCAATACGCATTTTAGACAAGGCTAGATAAGCAATATTTTTAAAATGCTGTGCAAATTCAATTTTTATGAACAGTGCAGCAACGACCTTAAAGGGACATTTCCATCAAACAGGAAACAGTTTGTATGTAGCCTGTCGGTATGTTTATGATGAGCATCCGTGAACTATATAACCATGTTACACAGATGAAGAGTGCAAGAGTGCATTTGCCTGCGCGTTCTGCAACAGCGAGCATAAAGGGGCAATGACAGTCACCTATCAAGGAAATGGAGGTTCGGATGAATAAAAAATGCAAACACAAGCACTACAACCCACTAGACCATCTCTAGTGTGTCGTTACAGTTTCTATTCATCTCGGGCAATAACACAAGGTTATATCTCTTCCGGCACCCTTTGCAAATGGGTGCAAACTCCCCATGGTGAACACAAAGATATCAGCTATAACGGCTATTCAATGTATTTACCTACATACATGCTATTAAAGGCTTATTCAAAGAGTTGATGCTTAGCTGATGGAGTCATGGGATACTCAATTGTATAGACATTATGCACAAAAATAATAAATACGCCAATGAGTGGCAAAAGTTTTTTGATGTATCAGCAACCAAGAGTGAAAATTAAGAGGGAAATTCGGCCATGTTTTTTGGTAAAGGGTTATATTTGATAACTATAAAGGTGTTTGACCACGACATTCCTCATAACATGTTAGCTAACTTTAATCCTTTCTTAATACATTGCAAATAACTATACAACAGTTAGCATTCAACTTACACGTATTAGCTAACATTTAGCTGGATACTTGCCTTTCCTATTGTTTTTATTTGATTTTTTAAATTGAAAAACTATTACCAATCAACTACATCATGCTAGAAATAACAGTTAGTTAGCCATTCCTAATACACACTACATCTCTATCAAACAGGCATCACTCAAACTGTTACTCGCTAACTTTACAGTTAGCTATCATTTTTACCTTTCCAAATGACTTTTATAACTCAGTAGGCTATGCAGAGTAACGTTAGCATTCAACTACCAGTTTGCTAAGTTTTTTCAGTCTTCACTAACGTACACTACTATATCACTGTCAAACAGTAATGCTAGCATTCAGCAATTTCCTTACTAACGGTCAAGTTAGCCAGGAAATAGCTGAATGCTACCATTAGCTGCTGTTTGAAAGTTGCAAATTTGTTAAAAAATGTGTTTTTTTTCAAATGTATTCCTGTCTGGAAGTGAAGCCATTGCATTATACAACCTCAAACTAAACTTTCTTTGTCCTATATTGTGACATTATGTTTGCTTTCCAGCCCTGAGGTAAACATCAGAGGAAAATGGCCACCATGTGAATATGGTCAACACTTCCTGTTCCTTCTGTGAATCTCATCTCCCTCCCTCCGAGCCATTTCATCGCCGGGGGGGGTTTGTTTGTGTTCCTGCCTCCCTCGCTACAGTTCCACTCTGCTGCGTTGGCCCCCGCCGCCATCGCTGACAGGCAGCGGTGTGCGACAGGCCTTCACACCCCGCCGTGATTACTTTCCCCTTCTTCCCTCCTCTCTTCTCTGCCTTGGCTGCACCACCACCAGACCACAACAGCCTCCCTCAAGCGGAGGCGTCTGACATATTTAGCTGTCAGCTTGCTAATTCAAAAAACAAGCAAACAAATGAGAAGCTCACCGGTGCAACGTTGTAGGCCAGCAGCACATGCTTCATGTCAGGAGACACCTCATACTTGCTGGCTTTATACATTTCCTGCAAAACAAAATCAGTTAAGAGGGGAAAAAAATGAGACAAAAAGATGAGACCTTTAACCATGCGTGGTATTTTTTCATTAAACTAGTCCTTAAATGACTGCGTTTGACAGATTGCCTGGCTCCTGAGGCAAATGGGAGTAGCATTAATCTTTGCACTGGGGCTTGGCAATTTGATGGCGGCCATAATGTTGTGTGTCGTCACCCAAGCTGCTGCAGCGTTGACGCTACATCTCCCTTTTTCTTTTTTTTTTTTTGTCCCCACACAAGAAGCAAGCCTAAAGTTTTAAGAATGCAGCTCACATTTCAAAGTACTAATGGATCATTTGATTCAGCTCTGTAAGAAAAGAGGCTTTGGGTGCTCTGATTTGCTGACGCTGTAAGAAAAGTTTTAATTTATTTCTTTTGCAGCCATGGTCAGGTCTTTTGGTCCTGTGATTGTAAGGAAGTCGGAGGGAAGAGAAGGGGACAAAAGACTTACAAACTTCTTGTTATGCACCAAGATGGTCTTTTCGTCCGTGTCGACGTTAAACTTGACGACATCGCCATCACGATTACGGTACAGCAGCTCGTTACCTGCGAGGACACAGAGAGGAATAGAAGCGTTTAGTTCACATATTCCCCAATGTGTCGTTTAAAATCATTGCCATAATTTACGTTCCTTCACAATAAAACAGAATCTTTCCTGGGGACAAAAAAAAATAAAAAAATGACCCAATGCTGACAAGTTCCCCCTATGGACTCGCAGCCCCTTAACAGCCAGAACACAACAGAGCAATACATTTACTCCTTACGTAAAATCCTGTAGCAACTGAAACTCAGCATGCAGGGTACAAATGTTACTCAGTGAAATGAGACAGGAAGAGCGAAGGATCTTCTAGTAGTACAAGGGAAGTGATGAACCTTGTCCTTCGGTGTAGTTGATGTCCAATATTTTTAGTTGTAAAACAAAGGATCGTCTAGTTTTCTGCATATTTGTTCTGAACAGAAAGATACAATCTAATAATAAATAGTCTGCTGTCAAATGAAGAAAAATACCTTTAAAACGGTTACAGAACAGCGTCTTGAGGGATAGAAAAAAAAACAAATATTCAATGTTTTTTGGGGTTATTACTTTTCTCAAGCACTGACAACATAATTAAATTTCCTGGGATGCCACCATTTATTAGTTTTTTAATCTCAAAGGCTTATTAAATTAAGCTTCTTGGACAGTTTTTTTAATTATCTACCAGCCACCGAAAAAGTTAAATCAACATGTGCAGCGGCGTTCATTTGGTACCTCAAAGCACAAAGAAGTGTGGTGAAACGTAATAAAAAAAAAAAAAACAAAGGATGAAAAAACAGAGCTGTGAAATGAACTGTGAAATATTTCTGAGCACAATATTCTATTTCTATTTCTGAGCTTCTACAATTCATCAGACTCTCTCAGTAGCCTTGTTATGTTTGAAGAGTTTGTGCTGGTGTGTCAAATCTAAAGCATCACTTCTCTCTTATCACAGTAAGTCTGGACAGTAACAGGTTTTTAAACAAAGTGGGGTCAGATACTTTTGGCTGCACACAGATGCAGCTGCAGATCAGGTCTTCAATCATTATTATTAACCTGCATGAATCCGCGGCACTATAGCTAAGTAAAGAGCAGGCGCCTGATTTTACAGATGCTAGGGGCCTCATCGCACCGGTTGCAGGTTTAACCCCCAGATTTCATTTCATTTCATTTCATTTTTATTTGTTCCGTACCTGTCAAAACACACAACAGAAAAGGAAAAAGAAAAAAACAATTCACACTTTATCCCCTGTACGGAAAGGAGCAGGGAGAAGAATAAATCTTGTTTTGCCTGACCCCTTACTCAAAAAGCAAACAATAAATGTCTGGATGGTTCTGTCCAAATTACAATCAATGAATGAATATCATGCCAACATAAAACAAATCTGACAATTCAGTCTTCACTTCCTCAGAAATTAAAAGGAAAACACACACAAAACACCAACAGCCAATTCCATACAGTCTGATAACTTTGTTCTTATACATTTCTGTTTTAAAGTTGTCCTTGCAAACTGAATTCAACTGTTGCATGACCTACTGGACGCCGTCATGTCTAACAAAGTGCCTGAACACTAAAGCTCCCCCGCGCAAACACAACAGCGATCTCGGGCCTCTAGAGGAAAGCCCCTTGAAGGAAGCCCTTCTTTGACAGATGTATGAAAGTTCACACAGCTCCTCATCCATCAGGCCTTTATCAGGAGAGGAGAAGTTTAATACAGCAACTGCCCCCTTTCACCTTCAATCTATCTGCGCTCCTCTGCCTTATTGCTTTAGTGATCCAATGGGCGCACGAGCGACCACGCCATTCGGCGAGGTAATTAAAACCCGGATAGTGTTATGCAGAGTGCTCTCTATCTGCTGGCATATCTAATTGTCCATTAGAGGTGACAAAATTACCATCACAATGGCTTTAATACAGAACGTGCTGCGGGGAGTGGTTTCAGACATTTTGAGATTGGCATGGCTGAACAGCTTTTTGTCTCCTTGTTTCAAACCATCGGCATACTAACAAGGGAACAAAACGCTTCATGGAAATCCTGCTGATAAATAAAACATGCCGCTTCCTTTTCCAACATTATTCTCGTTTGACTCCGTTTTGTCATCTTGATAAACGCTCTACTTTCATATATGAAATGGTAATTGCAGACGATGCGGTGCGAATGTGTGGAAAGAAAGACAATAAGGTGATGAATCAGCGGTCACAGAGATCGACTGGACTCCATTTGGCTTTGTGACTCGCTCTGTTTTTCATCGTCAGGCTTCATTTAAACTCAGGAAACCTGCATGTCTTTAAGGCGTCTTTTCATCTCCTCATTCCTCCCTGAATCACTGATCTCCGTCTCCTTTATCCACATACCCCCAAAGACTCTTCAGATCCCCTCAAATCCTTCCCATCACCGGCCTTTCATAAGCCCTCCTGCTGAGTCCCATCATTTTAGACCTTATCATCCCTCCGTCTCCTCTCCGGCTCTTTGTTTTCTGCTCTCTCGCTCAGACCATGGAGCCATCCATTCTTCAACAGCACCCTGGGCGTTATGTCCCTCCCTTCAGTCTTTCTCGTTCTAGCTCCCCTCTTTCTCTCTTTCCCCTCTGCTGTGCATTCGCCCAGGGCGCTCTTTTCTCCTCTGATCCATACCTTTCCAGTGCAGTATGTCTTATTAATACAGCCAACTGCCCTCGGCACAACCCTCACCCAGAATCACTCCGGGGAGGCAGGGATGCGAGGTAACACACTCGACTGAGTCACAAAGTGAGAGAGAGAAGAGCAAGGCTGTAAAACTTAAGTTTGTCCATTTCAACTCCATGGACCTCTTTTTTTTTTTTTTTTTTTTGGTGAAGCCTTTATTTGAAAGAGAGAGCCCTGGAAATAACACTTTTTAGAACAGAATTTTTGTGATCTGATTTTTACAGTTGCGGCCTCATATTTGGTGATTTACAACCCTGTACGTACACGCTTCAGCTATGAGATGTGAAAGAATGGCAGCAGCGTTCAAACAAAGTCAAATGCAGCAGGAGACACAGGCAAGCCAGACTATAAAGGTTGTTATCGAGACAAGAATATTTTATGAGTATATGTCTCATTAAAAAAACGACTGCTGTGTGGAGAAGCCTGTGAAGCAGGATTTAACTACAATCCAAACATCTCCGCATGCATGGATTAAAGAAACAGGCAGATTAAATAGACTCCCTGATGAGAAAAGCAAAGTTTTCACAAGATTTAGACGAGATTTCTTTTTGTCCATTTGTTCAAGTTTGTAATGCTGTTTTCATGAGCTAATCTCTTTGGTTAAATGTCCGTCAAACAATCGTCCACGGAATTCATTTGTGCACTCCTACTGCATTGTAAGACGCACAATAGATGATTAAAGAAAATAAATTAAAATCAGTGCAGCAGAATCAGAGATGTTAACGATTCCTTTTGCTTCATCAAAACCCAATAACTCCCAAAACACAACTCAACCACAGGTCACTTTGCGCATGTTATGCTAGCAGTGGCTAATGTACCCTCACGCGGCTATAGCCTGGAAACTTGTAATGATATTTTTCATTATCAAACTGGTTGTCTTTAGCAACAACCAAAGCTGAATTAGACGATATGACTTGAAGCCACTTCCAAAATTTCAGTTTCCTATGGAGGAACAAAATAATTGAAGCAATACTCTCAGAGACCTGTTAATTCATAGCTTTCAGGCACACGGCCGAACATGGAGGCTCGGAGAACAAAAAGTGGAGACAACTGTTTGTGGAGCTGCAGCACGATCTTGTTAAATTTTGATTCTCTTCAAACGACGCTTTAACGAACTACTTTAACTGACAACCACACAGAAACAGAGATTTTGAGATATACTGCAAGTGTTGGGCACATTTGCGATCCTGACAGCAACTGCAACAGTCCTGATCAGAACTCTACCTTATATATCATCCTTCACCCTGACAGTGCTGCAGCATGAAAGTCTACAAAAGTACAGACCGCTTGCATTTTCAATGTGTTTGGGTCAATAACGTCCGTTTTGGAAATGAAGGGCAAAGACTTCTTCATCCAAGCATCACAGGGTATCTAACAATAGTATCATGATCCCTTTAAATTACCTGCTGCTTACGGAGGCAAAGCTAAAAGTGAATTAAGGATAATTATGGTAAATCAAAAATTAACTATTGGGTGTAAATTATGATGGATATTTAACCAAATGACAGTTGGGGTAATATTGTTACCATGCTATGATGCTACCATCCCTTTAACTGTGATCCAATGTATAAGCAGCTTATTATACAATTATTAGGACTAATTGGATTGATGCCTTTCAATGTGTCAAATTATGCTTTCATTTGACCCGACACTGATCCTCTACTACACCCCTTACACTCCCCAGGGACCCTTTTTTCAAAACTTCATTCCACTGTAGGCTTCATTAACACTTTAACCAAGCCTTTTTTCTGCCCCTTGTGTTATATGACAGCTTTATTAAAAACGACTGAAAAGTGCAGCGAGACCAGTTAATGCTATAATCCAGGTCTCTTGAAGTGACTTTTAGCTTCCACTGCAGTGTAATCGCTCAGGTAGACTTCTTATAACGCTGCTCAGTCTACTGTCTTCTAAACCCTCCTTATCCGTTTTCCTCTAAACCTTATCTCGAGACACAACTGAGGACGTGGCATTGATTGCATTCAGAGCACATTTTGTCGAGAGGCCCATGAACACTCAGAGAAGGCATTGGCGAGAGTCCTCAGCGTACATGTTCTGACAAAAAAAAATGGAACAGGGGTCAGAGTCGTTTTATAAGAAGGGAGGAAAATGCCTCCTTAACAAAAAGTCCATCCTTAGAAGTTCTTAACATTGAAGCATAACACATAATGCTTCACCATGTGATTACTCAAACACACCTTAGGCTATTGTAAAGATAACATTCTTTTGTCGGCTACATTAGAAGAGATGAAGCATGGCAGAGTTTAATCTTAAATTCTGGATGGTTCTCATTTTAGAACAAGGTCATTTATTGTTATTTAAGCTTCAGGTGTTCTGATAAAGCTGATA